ATATTAGCTCTTTCAGCTACAGCATTGCAATGGGAGCTCATGTTCAGCTGATTATCCACCATGACGCCCAAATCCTCTTCAGAGTCACTGCTTCCAACGATAAAGTCCCCTATCCTGTAACCATGGCTTAGACCAGGGGTCGGCAACCTATGACCCGCGTGCCAAAGATGGCACGTGAACCGATCTTTAATGGCACGCTGCTGCCTGTTGGGTCCTAGCTGCCGCGCGGGGGCAGGGTGAAGGAGCTTGGTCCTGGCGGTTGCTGCTGCAGGGCAGGAAAGCTCCCCCCTCCCCCGCCTCTTCCCCCAGCATGCTGGGTTCATGTCTCTCCTCCTCTCCCTCCCTGCCACCGATCAGCTGATGGCCCTTGTGCGGGAGCAGAAGAAGCGGAGCCACAGCACAATCGCTGCTCCAGGGAGGAGGCGGAGAAGAGGAGAGGATGGGGCCTTAGGGAAGGGGCATGGAATGAGGGCATATCCCCTCTAGCCCCCTGCCGTGAGCCACTCTGGGCAGGGAACTGGGAGCACCCCCATGACCATAGCACACACCCCCAGCCCTCTGCCCTGACCCCTGCACCCCCCTCACACACACTCAGCCCTCTTCCCTGACCCCCCCACACCCCATCCTCCTGCCCTGATCCCTGCACCCCCCCACGACCCCAGCCCTGATTCCAGCCCCCTCACACCCATTGCCCTGACTTCTGCACCCTCCTCACACACCCCCAGCCCCCACACATCCCATGCCCTGACTCTTGCACCCCCCACATTCCCACCCCCACCCTGAGCACCAAACGGGAGCTCCTGCACCCACCCACCCCCTCACATTCCCACCTGCACCCCTCACAGCAAATGGGAGCTGCCCAGGTAAGCGCTCCACACCCAAACCTCCTGCCCCAACCCTGAGCCCTCTCCCTCATTCTAGCTCCTGGCCAGACCCTGTGCTCAGTGCACTCCCACACTCAGCCTGCACCTTCACCCCCAGCTCTGTGCTCAGTGCACTCCCACCTTCAGCTCAGTGCAGAGAGGAAGAGAATGGGCTAGAACCAGAGAGAAGGTAGGTACCCACTCTATGTGGGCAGGGCCGGGATCCCAGACTGGCAGCGGGCTGAGCGGGGCCAGCAGCCGGGACCCGGGCTGAGCGGGGCCGGCAGCTGGCTGAGCTGCTCAGCCCACTGACGGTCTGGGGTCCTGGCCACCAGCCCCACTCAGCCTCCGGCCCCGCTCAGCCTGTTGCCGGCCTAGGTGAACGGAACCCCAGGCTGGCAGCGGGTTGAGCGGGGCGGCGGCGTAAGATCAGCATTTTAATTTAATTTTAAATAAAGCTTCTTAAACATTTTGAAAACCTTGTTTACTTTACATACGGCAATAGTTTAGTTATATAATATATAGACTTCTAGAGAGAGACCTTCTAAAAAACATTAAAATGTATTACTGGCACGCGAAACCTTAAATTACAGTGAATAAATGAAGACTCGGCACACCACTTCTGAAAGGTTGCCGATCCCTGGCCTAGACTCTTTGCTCCTAAATGGATAACTTGACATTTAGCCACATTGAAACACATTGTTTGCTTGCACCCAATCTGCCAAGTGATCCAAATAGCTTTGTATCAGTGACCTGCCCTCCTCATTATTTACCACGTCTCCAATCTTTGTGCTATTTGTAAACTTTATCAGTGATGATTTTGTTTTCTTCTAGTTCATTGATAAAAATGTTAACTAGTTAAGGGCCAAGAACTAATACCTGCGCGACCTAACTGGAAACAGTCACTCAATGACGATTCCCCATTTACGATTGCATTTTGAGACTTGTCATTTAGCTAGTTTCTTAATCTAGTGAACATGTGCCATGTTGATTTGTATATCATTCTAGCTTCTTAATCAGAATGTTGTATGGTACCAAGTCAAATACCCTACAGAAATCTAGGTCTGTTACATTACATTGTCAAGAACAAAGCATGTCAAACCAACCTAATGTCCTCCTTTGACAGAGTAACAAGCCTTGAGGATAGGGGGAAGCAGTAGATATGACATATCTCGACTTCCATAAGGCTTTTGATATTGTTTAACACGACCTTGTCATAAGCAAACTAGGGACATATAGCCTAGACCAGTGGTTCTCAACCAGGAATATGCATAGCCCTGTGGGTATGCAGAGGTCTTCCAGGAGGTACATCAACTCATCTAGATATTTGCCTAGTTTTATAACAGGCTACATAAAAAGCACTAGCAAAATCAGTACAAACTAAAATTTCACACACAGTGACTTGTTTATATGGCTCTATATACTATACATTGAAATATAAATACAATATTTATATTCCAATTGATTTATTTTATAATTATATGGTAAAAATGAGAAAGTAAGCAATTTTTCAGTAATCATGTGCTGTGACACTTTTGTGTTTTTATGCCTGATTTTGTAAACAAGTAGTTTTTAAAGTGAGTTGAAACTTGGAGTACACAAGGCAAATCAGACTCCTGAAAGGGGTACAGTAGTCTAGAAAGGCTGAAAGCCACTGTCCTAGACAATCCTGCTGTAAGCTGGGTGCACAACTGGTTGGAAAACTGTACGCAGGAGTTATCAATGATTCGCAGTCATGCTGAAAGGGCATATCAAGTGGGGTCCTGCAGGGGTCTGTCCTGGGTTTGATTCTATTCCATATCTTCATAAATAAGTTGGATAATGCCATAAAGAGTACACTTATAATGCTTACAGACAATACGAAGCTGGGGACAGCAGAGGAGAGGATTACGAGCATTTTGGAGGACAGGAATAGAATAATGACCTTGACAAACTGGAGAAATGATCTGAAATAAATAGGATGAAATTCAGTAAGGAAAAGTGCACAGTACTACATTTAGGAAGAAATAATCAATTGCACAAATACAAAATGGGAAATCACTACATAGGAAGGAGTACTACAAAAAAGATCTGGAGTTATAGTGAATCACAAACTAAATATGAGTCAACAATGTAATACTGTTGCCAAAAAAAAAAAGGCAAATATCATCCTGAGATGTATTAGCAGGAATGTTGCAAGCAAGACATGAGAAGTAATTCTCTCACGCTACTCAGCACTGATAAGGTCTTACCCGGGAGTACTGTGTCCAGTTCTGGGCAGCGTACGTCAGGAAAGATGTGTACAGATTGGAGAAAGTCCAGAGGAGAGCAACAAAGGTCTAGAAAATATGCCTGAGGAGGAAAGATTGAAAAAAACTGTGTTTGTTTAGTCTGGAGAAGAGAAGACTAAAGGGGAGCATAGCAGTCTTTAAGGCTGTTATAAAGTGAAGTGCGATAAAATTGTTCTCCTTATCCACTGAGGACAGGACAAAAAATAATGGGTGTAAATTGCAGTAAGGGAGATTTAGGTTAGACATTAGGAAAAACTTCCAGACTGTAAGGGTAGTTAATTAGTGGAACAAATTAACTAGAGTGGTCACTGAAGGTTTTTAAGAATAGGTTAAACAAACACCATCTGGACAGTCTAGATAATCCTGCTTCAGTGCAGGGGACTGGAGTAAATGACCCATCAAGATCTTCTATAGTCCTATGTCAGGTTTCAGAGTAACAGCCGTGTTAGTCTGTATTCGCAAAAAGAAAAGGAGTACTTGTGGCACCTTAGAGACTAACCAATTTATTTGAGCATGAGCTTTCGTGAGCTACAGCTCACTTCATCGGATGCATACCGTGGAAACTGCAGCAGACTTTATATATACACAGAGAGGGGGGGGTGGAGGGTGAGAAAACCTGGATTTGTGCTGGAAATGGCCCAACCTGATGATCACTTTAGATAAGCTATTACCAGCAGGACACTGGGGTGGAAGGAGATATTGTTTAATATTCTCTGTGTATATATAAAGTCTGCTGCAGTTTCCACGGTATGCATCCGATGAAGTGAGCTGTAGCTCACGAAAGCTCATGCTCAAATAAATTGGTTAGTCTCTAAGGTGCCACAAGTACTCCTTTTCTTATAGTCCTATGTGTCTATGATTTTATGCTTTCCTTACCTTTATCAGCCAAACTTAAACCAGTGTCCCTAAATCCAGTATTAAAGAATTAAAGGAATATAATTATCAATCAAATCCTGTATCACCCAATGCTTTTCTTTTCCTGGAATCTATGTTGGGCTGACACGCCTATAATTGCACAGGTCATCCTTTTACCCTTTTTTAAATTGGTACATTAGCTTTCTGCCAGTCCTCTGTAACTTCCCCAGGATTCCAAGAGCTCCTCCACCAGTTCTTTTGGGACTCTTTGATGCAAATTATCTGGACCTGCTGATTTTAAAAATATCTTACTTTCGTAGCTGCTGTTTAACAGCCTCCCAACTTACTGTTGGACAAGAAAGTTTCTTCATCAGATGATGCTGAGACTATATCATCTGGCTTTTTTCCAAATAAAGAACAGGAGCACTTATTGAACATTTCCTTTTCTGTATTATTGAAAATTCTACCACTTAGGAACAAAAAGAATCTTAACATACTTAAACAAAAAAAAAAAAAAAAATCCCGTCCAGCTCTGTGCAGTCTACCTCTGTTCATGGCTCTGAGACCTGTGAGTTTTCAAATAAATTTGTGCTGGCCAAGGTCCTCCAGTGCAGTGGCATGGTTGCTGCTATCAGGGGGTTGGCCCAGAAAGTTTGATGGTCCAGTGAGGAATAAACTAAGTTTATAAGGAAGGTGATAATATTCTCATTTGTTGTCGTAAAACAAAATAACAGACTATAAAGCCCTAAGAGTTGCTGACCTTTTCCTGGGGATAGCGGTGGGGCTGCCTTGGGCGCTCATCACCTGCGTACGATGATGGGGAAAGACAGTCACTGAGGAATAGCCTTACCTTCTTGATGCCAGTAGGGTAGGAGCTCTCTTATGCTTGCTCTCACTGCTGTTGAGGGTGGGGGGTCCTGCAGTTTCTTGGTGTTGCTGCGGGCTGAGTGTAGCTGCTTCCTTGTGTGGACTGTGGGTATAACCCTTCTGTGTACTTCTCTTTCCTGGTTAGTATTTTGTGACAATTCTGAAGGCCAAAGGGACACTGCAGCCAGCTGTGCGGGAAGCCATCTTCGGTCGCCTGGAATCCATACATTGCACCAGCCAGTAAGTGACCGGCTTGAGGGAGTACCACACATGGGTGGGAGAGTGCGTCGGTGGAAGATAACTAACATTGGTGGGGCTTGGAGATGTGCCCAGGGAGCTGCTGACCTGCGCACATCTATCCAGATAATCCATAGCTATGAGAATATTTGGATATTTTGAACACCCTGATCACCTTGATGGATTGGTCCTTCAGCCCTTGTATAGATTGCACCGATCACAACACATCTTCCATTCTTCTCGTATCCTGGCCTTCCTTCTCCATGTGTGGCCATGTATTTTCATGATAAAATCTTCCCACCTCTTTGGAGGTTGGCCGAGTGGTCGTTTCAGTTCCCGTATGTACCACTTGGCGACAAGGTGCAGTCCATCGATTGTCAGTGAGCCTCGCTGTATGCCCGGCTCATCGTATTTTACTATACCTGCTCTTAACGATGTCCTGCACTCCACTCTGCTGTCTGATCACTTCATTGGGGACTCAGTCACGAATTTTGAACAACAGTCTATTAAGGGGAGGGCCTTTATAGGCCTCCATTTCCATACTACATAGATGGCCTATTTGGAAGTGAGGTATGCTGGTACTGAGAGACATAATTCTTTGTCCATCTCAGTCTAGCCAGGTTGAAAACTAATCATGCTGTTTGTTGTCTTGTAACCTGTACTGCCATCTGAGAAATATATAGTTTGTCTCCATTCCTGGCCCAGATGCCTTTTACCATGTCAGCTCAGAAATTAGAATATTTGCTATGTACAGATATTTGGGCTGTTCCCCTATTTGCCTGATCAGCCATAAAAATAAGAAAAAGTATGTGAAAGAGAGGCTACCTTTGACCTCAGTGAAATAATGTATTCCTAATTTTTTTTTTCTTATTGCATATATCATTTTACGGGTGGTGATTTTACAGGTGTAACTGATTTTAGAGAAGGGCTAATTTTGTATTTTAAGTTGTGTGTTTAAAATTTGTTTCTGGTTTTTGGAGTTATTGATTCTAAATTTATATATATTTTTATATTAGCCATAAGCTATTGCGCATATAAGGTACTATATTATTAAACTATTCATATGCCTACCCACACGCTGGTCACTTGCTGGGTAGGGTTTTTTTAGCCATAGAAAGTGAGCTTTCCAATGTTTTAGAGAATATTCTGTTTAGTTCCTACTGGATCCCTTGAGTATGAATCCTGGATTTAATTTCTGGGTGTGAGAGGGGTGACAGATCCCAAAATGGATAGAACAGAACTTGAACTAGAGGGAGCCAAGGCAATTTTGGTGATCATGTAGCCCTCTCATTGAGTTGCTGTCGTTGCACACAGGATTCTGCTGCTTCACTTGGAAAGAGGGCACTTGGGGCTAGGATTGGAGGGTTTCTGTCAGAATATGGAGCTCTATGGCCACTATGCTGAAAACTTGGAGCAAGCTAAGAAAACCCTGCAGGTGAGTGCCCCCTCTGCCCTTTTTTTTTTTTTTTTTTTTTGTGCCATGCCACTCTTTCATTCCCGAGTTAGCTGTGAGGGACCAGTTGTTTCCTGTTCCAAACTGTTACCCCTCCCCGCCCCCCCATGATGAAATATTCAGTACTTATTTAGCACGTCACACTTTCAAAACTAGAGATTTAAATAAAAGGGGATCATGAGGGAGCACAGCTTTTCCTCTTCTAAAATCAAGAGTTTCCCTTCCGGTTTTGGGGAATTTGGCTCCTGCTCCTCCTTTGGCTGGCTCAGTGCGAACTCACCAGTCAAGGGAATTTGAAAAGGAATCATTAGGAAGGAGGAGCTGGACAATTACCAGAATTGGCTGGAGAATTACCAGAGCTCCTAGCCTTTTCCATTACTGGGTAAAGCACCAAGAGAACCCTGACAGGGGGACTCCCAGCTAGGATATCTTTCCTTTGCCACCTCCTCAAATCTACCTTCTCCTATAGGAGATGGGGAAGAGACCTCCCTTCCATTCTTGCCAGGTCCCTCTCAAAACACATAGTATGTCTTACATAAAATCCTCTTTTAAATGACTTGTATCCTAAAGTTAGGGGAATTGCATGAAGGGTAAAAGTCTTCCTCAGAAGGACCCCCTTGACCCTCTGACTTTTTAAAATTTTAATATCAGTGCAGATTTCCCAACTTCCGGAGACATTGTGGTGGGAAGCATTAAGGATGTGCTTTTGCCCACCTCTGGGTGCATGCATACATGCACTCTGTTGGCCTCCTTGGAGGATAGGCACATCTCTCAGATACACTTGTTTTTAGTTCTCACCATAAGATGATGCAAGGCTGCATCTCCACATCATATTAAACTGGTGACAAGTGAAATTAGTGAGCTCTTCATTCCTAGATCTACTTTAGACACTCTTTTTAAAAGTATTTATAAGAACTAGTTTATCTTTCTCATGCACACACATACATACGTTTATAAGGTGGGTCAGTACTGTTATCCTCTCTGAAAGTGGGAAATGGTGGCTTGGAGAGGGAGAAGTGGCTTGCCGAATGTCACAAAATCAGTTAGTGTCAGATGCGTTTAGATAGGATTTGGGAGTTCTGGTGGCTCTTTAGGTATGTGTCAGTCTGGATCCCACTATAAGTGTACATGTGTCTCACGCACAGGACCAGATATTTTTTGACTAGCCGTGTCCATCAGGATGGTGGATGTTCCCAGTGACTCTTCATGCTCTTTTACAAGGGCGTAAAAGGGGTGTTGGACCATTACTGAATGGGGGAGGCAACCTAGTGACAGATGAAGGGGAAAAAGCTGAAGTACTCAATGCTTTTTTTGCCTCAGTCTTCACAGGCAAGGTCAGCTCCCAGAATGCTGCACTGGGCAGCACAGTATGGAGAGGAGGTGAGCAGCTTTCAGTGGTGAAAGAACAGGTTAAGGACTATTTAGAAAAGCTGGACATGCATAAGTCCATAGGGCTGGATCTAATGCATCTGAGGGAGTTGGCTGTTGAGATTGCAGAGCCATTGGCCATTATCTTTGAAAACTCATGGCGATCGGGGGAGGTCCCAGGCGATTAGAAAAAGGAAAATATAGTACCCATCTTTTAAAAAGAAAAGAAGGAGAATTTGGGGAACTACAGACCGGTCAGCCTCACCTCAGTCCCTGGAAAAATCATGGAGAAGGTCCTCAAGGAATCCATTTTGAAGCACTTGGAGGAGAGGAAGGTGATCAGGAACAGTCAACATGGATTCACCAAGGGCAAGTCATGCCTGACCAACCTGATTGCTTTCTATGATGAGATAACTGGCTCTGTGCATATGGGGAAAGCGTGGATGTGATATACCTTGACAGTAGCAAAGCTTTTGATACAGTCTCCCACAGTATTCTTGCCAGCAAGTTAAAAAAGTATGGATTGGATGAATGCACTATAAGGTGGATAGAAAGATGGCTAGATAGTCAGTCTCAATGGGTAGTGATCAATGACTCAATGTCTAGTTGGCAGCCGGAATCAAGTGGAGTGCCCCAGGGGTCTGACCTGGGGCTGGTTTTGTTCAACATCTTCATTAATGATCTGGATGATGGGATGGATTGCACCCTCAGCAAGTTTGTGGATGACACTAAGCTGGGGAGAGGTAGATAAACTGGAGGGTAGGGATAGGGTCCAGAGTGACCTTGACAAATTGGAGGATTCGGCCAAAAGAAATCTGATGAGGTTCAACAAGGACAAGTGCAGAGTCCTGCACTGAGGATGGAAGAATCCCATGCACTGCTACAGGCTGGGGACCAGCTAAGCAGCAGTTCTGGAGAAAAGGACCTGGGGATTACAGTGGATGAGAAGCTAGATATGAGTCAGCAGTGCGCCCTGTTTGCTAAGAAGGCTAACAGCATTTTGGGCTGCATTAGTAGGAGCATTGCCAGCAGTTTGAGTGAAGTGATTATTCCTCTCTATTCGTCACTGGTGAGGCCACATCTGGAGTATTGCATCCAGTTTTGGGCCCCCCAATACATAAAGGATGAGGACAAATTGGAGAGAATCCAACAGAGGGTAATAAAAATTATTAGGGGGCTGGGGCACATGACTTATGAGGGGAGGCTGAGGGAACTGGGCTTATTTAGTCTGCAGAAGAGAAGAGTGAGGCGGGATTTGATAGCAGCCTTCAACTACCTGAAGGGGGGTTCCAAAGAGGATGGAGTTAGGCTGTTCTCAGTGGTGGCAGATGACAGAACAAGGAAGAACGGTCTCAAGTTGAAGTGGTGGAGGTCTAGGTTGGATATTAGGAAAAACTATTTCACTAGGAGGGTGGTGAAGCACTGGAATGGGATACCTAGGGAGGTGATGGAGACTCAAATCTCCATCCTTAGAGGTTTTTAAGGCCTGGCTTGACAAAGCCCTGGCTAGGATGATTTAGTTGGGGTTGGTCCTGCATTGAGCAGGGGGTTGGACTAGATGACCTCCTGAGGTTTCTTCCAACCCATATCTTCTATGATCCTCTCTGTTCCTTCTTACCTCCGTGGCAGCAAGATGGAATCCAGCTGGTGTCTCACCCACTACACCTTAGCTCAGGCTTGAACACCTCAAAAACTTCTGAGAATCTTCAGAACAACCTATCACTCTAATCTGTTCTAATACTTGTTTTAATCAAATTTACTGCTCAGACCACCCTGTAATCCCCTGCTTCCCCTCCACAGATACACATTCCCCTGTACAAAGAACTAAAAATGTGGGACTCTGAACCCAGAGGTTTCTAGCCTTGCCCATCCTTTGGACTAAGTCCTCTAAAAGAGGCGCAGCAGGTGCGTGTTCTGCTTAGGAGAATCCCATATCCTAAGCAGATGCTTGGTCTGCCTATCCTTCTCTTCAAGGACTGTCAAGTCCTAAGATGCACCTCCTGGATCAGATTGCTCCAGAAAAAACAGGCTCGAAGACCCTTCTAACACTCAAGCCCACATGGTCCAGCAATCAATCAAGAAGGAAGGGAACTCTGAAGACCTCTGCAGGGAAAAATGATGCTGAGACAAGACCTGGTGCCGGCATTGACTTCGGTTCTGGCATTCCCTCTAGTACTGAAACCACTAAGTCTTGACACTGAAGTTGACACTTCGGAAGTTGAAGCAGAGTGCAACAGGCGGTTTCTCTGAGCACTGGAGAGGGAGCTTGAGAAGGAGGTTGGTGCCCTACTGTATAAGTAGGGGCATAGCGAGCAGATCGAGGGATGTGATCGTTCCCCTCTATTCGACATTGGTGAGGCCTCATCTGGAGTACTGTGTCCAGTTTTGGGCCCCACACTTCAAGAAGGATGTGGATAAATTGGAGAGAGTCCAGCGAAGGGCAACAAAAATGATTAGGGGTCTAGAACACATGAGTTATGAGGAGAGGCTGAGGGAGCTGGGATTGTTTAGCCTGCAGAAGAGAAGAATGAGGGGGGATTTGATAGCTGCTTTCAACTACCTGAAAGGGGGTTCCAAAGAGGATGGCTCTAGACTGTTCTCAATGGTAGCAGATGACAGAACGAGGAGTAATGGTCTCAAGTTGCAGTGGGGGAGGTTTAGATTGGATATTAGGAAAAACTTTTTCACTAAGAGGGTGGTGAAACACTGGAATGCGTTACCTAGGGAGGTGGTAGAATCTCCTTCCTTAGAGGTTTTTAAGGTCAGGCTTGACAAAGCCCTGGCTGGGATGATTTAACTGGGAATTGGTCCTGCTTCGAGCAGGGGGGTTGGACTAGATGACCTTCTGGGGTCCCTTCCAACCCTTATATTCTATGATTCTATGATTCCTCTCAGAGGTACAAGAAAATGTTAGGGAAACAAGCTGGCCAGGTCCTGCATGGTGTTGAGGACTGGCAAGAAGGAGCAGACTGTGATGCAGCAGACTTTGCTGGGCCCAGTACCAGCAGTGTCCCTGCCAATGTCGACTCTGGCTCTGGAAGAACAGACTCAGAATGCACAAATTTTGACACAGAACTTGTTACTGACAGCACTCTACCAGCAGCATCGCCTATGGAGGAGGCGATCCCCATCCCCATCATCCTCTCCATCCCCAGAGCACACTTTTTTCTTGCTTCCCCTCCAGTGTTCCCTCTAATTTTTTTACGTCCATGTGCAAAATTAATTATATGTGCACCAATATGGAGGTGATGTGTAGGGCTTAATAGGCAACTGCGCAGCCATGCAGCTTAGAGGGAACTTTAGCTCCCCTCTAAGTTCCATGAGGGCTGCCACTGAGAAACCTGAGGACTTCTACAGAGCTCAACCACTGGTCCAGCCAGCAACCCATTGGCTACTGATACACATACAGGATGCCACCTATTGGGGCCCACCTTCACAAGCCTCAAAGAGCTGGTGCCTGCCATCATGGAGGAGGAGAAAATCCACTCGCTCAAGTGGCTTTCCTAGCAAGACATGTTGCTGGAGCACCAAAAGGAGCAAGATTCAGAAGTGTGCCACTATCCTTTGTCACTTCCTAAGGATCTTTCTTCATCTTTGCTGGATGAGACGGTAGACCTGGCACTGGATGATTTCAAGGCTTTTCAGGAGTTCCTTATGCAGATTTCTGACACCTTGGAGACAGAGACTGCAGTCATCTCTGAAAAATCCCACAAGTTATTTGACATTTTCTGTTGGTCCTGCCCACCCTCCCCGTAAATGAGGGGCTCCTAGATCCAGCGAGAACTCTGGTAGACACCAGTCATTATAACACCAACATCAAAACTAATTGAGAAATGGTACCTACCAGTTATCCTTCTTGAGGTTTGAATACTTTTATACCCATGCCAACCCTGGCTCCCTAGTTATTGTGGCTGTTCAAGAGAAGATAAGTTCTATCGAGAGCATACCAAAACACAAATATCCCAAACATTTAGATCTTTTTGCAAGAGAACTGTACTCATTGGCTTTACTTCAGTTGAGGGTGGCCAACTACCAGGCCTTACTGGGCAGATATGATTTGACTAGGGACAGGGTGACACCCTTTGTGGCTAAGCTTGCTCATGAGAGCAGGGAGGAGCTAAAACATATAACACAGGAAGGGCAACTGATGTCTCATGGATATCATGGCTGTGTCCACAACCACTGCAGTGACAATGCAGAGAGAATTGTGGCTTCAGGCTTTGGGTATCCCCCAAGAGGTACAAGCCACAAATGAGGACATGCCCTTTGAGAGCTTGGAATTATTCTACAAGAGGACTGACTGATCTACCTACACTCACTTGAAATTGTCTAAAGCAATTTTGCATTCCTTGGGAATCCTCACCCCTCCACCTTAGTGAAAGGTGTCCCATTTGTTGTTATAAGTGAGGCCTAGCAGGCCTACGTTAATTGTTAGCCTAACTAATGAAAAGTGGGTAAAGGTTTATGAATAGTCATAATGATCTGTTATATAAAACTCTTGAAGAAAAGATATGGGAAGGAGACAGACTGAATTAATTTAAAGAAAGAGTCTATTGATAATGCTCAAGTACTGTGTTAAGATTATGACTGGTGTAAAAGAAGAGCAGAAATTAATTAACTAAAATTGGTACATTGGAAATATGACCTAATTACTTGTAAGAATAATGAGGATGGCTTATTCTACTCATTGCCTTTTTGTGGGTCCTTAAAAAGACTTCAGGGAGAGGAGAGAAAAGAACTTTTTACCATCACCATGGCTGCGGCAGAAGGATTGTTGCCATGACACCAGACCTTGATACTTCAGTGGTGATACTTGACCATTAGCACTGCGCCAGTGAGGATCCCAACCTAATATGTTTGAGATCCTGCTCTGTCTTCCCCTCCCTTGTGTGATCCTTTCTGCCTCCTGTCTCTCACTCTAGGCTTTCCACCTGATCCTGAAATCAGCTGTGCTGAAGGGGATCGGCGCTGTGATAACATAGAAATGTAGGACTGGAAGAGACTGTTGACAGGTCATCTATCCAGTCCCCTGCACTGAGGAGGGACAAAATATTATCTACACCATACCTGACCATTGTTTGGAGGTTTTTAAGAACAGACTAGACAATGACAGAGATTTCACAACCTTCCTAGGTAATTTGTTCTAGTGCTTAACTACCCGTACGTTTAGGAAGTTTTTCCTAATGTCTAACCTAAATCTCCCTTGCTCCAATTTAAGCCCATTACTTCTTGTCCTGTCCTCAGTGGTTGAGGAGAACAATTTTATCATGCCCTTCTTTACAACAGCGTTTTATGTACTTGAAGACTATAATCATGTCCCCCCTGAGTCTTCTCATCTCCAAACTAAATACACCTGATTTTCTTTCATTCTTTCCTCCTCAGTCGTATTTTCTAGACCTTTGTTGCTCTTCTCTGGACTTTCTCCAATTTGTCCACATCTTTCCTGAAGTATGGTGCCCAGAACTGGACACAGTACTCCTGGTTGAGACCTTATCAGTGCTAAGTAGAGTGGAAGAATAACTTTGTGTCTTGCTTACAACACTCCTGCTAATACATCCCAGAATGATATACGCTTTTTTTTTTTTTGGCAACACTTTCACATTGTTGACTCATATTTAGTTTGTGATCCGCTATAATCCCAGATCCTTTTCTGCAGTACTCCTTCCAAGGTAGTTACTTCCCATTTTGTATTTGTGCAGTTGATTATTCCTTCCTAAATGTAGTATGGTGCACTTTTCCTTAGAACATATGAATGGCCATATTGGGTCAGACCAAAGGTCCATCTAGTCCTGTATCCTGTCTTCCGACAGTGGCCAATGCCAGGTGCCCCAGAGGGAATGAACAGAATAGGTAATCAAGTGATCCATTCCATCGCCCATTCCCAGCTTCTGGCAAACAGAGGCTAGGGACACCATCCCGCCCATCCTGGCTAATTGCCATTGATGGACCTATCATCCATGAATTTATTTAGTTCTTTTTTGAACTCTGTCATAGTCTTGGCCTTCACAACATCCTCTGGCAAATAGTTCCACAGGTTGACTGTGAGTTGTGTGAAAAAATACTTCATTTTATTTGTTTAAATCTGCTGCCTATTAATTTCATTTGGTGACCCCTGGTTTTTGTGTTATGAGAAGGAGTAAATAACACTTTTTCTTATTTACTTTGTCCACACCAGTCATGATTTTATAGACCTCTATCATATCTCGCCTTAATCCATATTGAATTTCATTCTGTTTATTTCAGACCATTTCTCCAGTTTTTTAGAGTATTTTGAATTCTAATCCTGCCCTCCGAAGTGCTTGCAAACCCCCTCCACAAGCTTAGTATCATCCACAAGCTTTATAAGTATACTCTCTATCCCATTAGCTAACTCATTTATGATGATATTGAATAGATCCAAACTCAGTAGAGATCACTCAGCAACCCAGGCTTTGGACTGCAAGTGAGGGTCATGGGAACCCTACCCTTTCTGCCTTCATATGGGAGGGGGTACAAGGGTGCATGCGCCATCCCGATGGACACTGCGAGCCACAACAAAATGTCTCACATGCATAAGGTGCATGCACACCTGTAATGTAGTCTGTGGCTCTCAACAGCTTGAAGAACCCACTTACTGTAGGGTAAGTAGATGTTCTTTTCTAGGGTCCCCACTCAAACCACTAAAATATACTGCTTCTTTCTGGTACTTCAAACCTATGTTTCATCTTTGCTTGGTCATACGCAGGAGCAGGTGAAGAAGAATAAGGCATTTTGCCGGTTTAAGAAGCTTCAAGAGTCTCGACCTGAGTTCCTGGGATGGCAGCTGGAGGATCTGCTCCCTCTGCCACTGCAGAGGCTCCATCAGTAAGGAAGCAGCCTTGAGCCTTCAGATGTCATTTTAGCACCAAGATTAGTACTAGGAATAATCAGAGGTGAAGAGAGGGGACCCCATGGAACTGTAGTCTGTTGCTGGTGGATAGAGGTAGAATGGCTGTAGTGACCCCAGATCAGAACATTCCATCGCAGCCCACACAGATTCCAAGGTGTGTGTGTGGTGGGGATACAGGGAGCTATGCAGTTATCTGAGGTCTCTCCAGATTGTGATAAACATTTGGTGTATGTGGGGAGAAGAAGGGGGAACTGACTGTACTGAGTGAGGGGAAGTGCTTCAAGATTGACTGATTAGTCCTCCCTTTCCAAAAGCTGGAACTTTCTCATCCCTTGTACTATCAACAATAGGAGATGCTGCTGATGGTGACTGTATATGAAATGTGACTACACCCCTTTATCCTGTCTGTCTTAGATACAAGCACTTGTTCAGAGACCTGATGGAGAACTCCAGCCCGGATAGTGTGGAGTTCCAGCACCTTGCAAGTATGATGTAGATTCCAAACCTTGTTCTGGATTATTTCTTTTGCTAACAATAATCAGATTTTAATAATCTCTCTGACCTTAAACCCTTTTCGGTGCTGAAATCTAGTAGATTACTCTCTCTTTCCTTCTCTTCCCCCCCCCCCCCCCCCAGTAGAAGAAAGAGAAATTGGTAGTAACGAATATAAATCAGAAGTTAGGAATTGTAAAACATTGATAATGGCACCAAAGGACACAAGGAGAAATCTATGGATAGCAAAGTTAAGGACAATAAAGAGTTTTAAAGTATATTCAGAACAAAAAGAATCCTGACAATGGTATTGGTCCATTATCAGATGGAAATGGTAGAATTATCAATAATAATACAGAAAAGGCAGAGGGGGTCAATAAATATTTCTGTTCTATATTTGGGGAAAAACAGATGATATAGTTTCACCATATGGTGATAACACTCTTTCCATTTCACTGGTATATCTGGAGGATGTTAAACTGAAGCTATTAAAGTTAGATATTTTTAAATCAGTAGGTCCAGATAATTTGTGTCCAAGAGTTGTAAAAGAGTTGGCCTAGTAGCTCTCTGGACCATTAATGTTGGTTTTCAATAAATCTTGGAACACTGGAGAAGTTCTAGAAGACTGAAAGAAAGCAAATGTCTTGCCAGGTTTTAAAAAGGGTAAAAAATGGGATGGCCAGCTAGACATTGATCCCAGGCAAGATAATGGAATGGCTGATATGGGACTCAAAAAATAAAGAACTAAAGGATAGTAATATAATAAATGTAAATCAACATGGGTTTACAGAAAATAGATCCTTTCAAACTAACTTGATATCTTTTTTATGAGATTACAAGTTTGGTTGATAAAGTGGATAGTGTTGACATAATATACTTAGATATCTGTAAGGTGTTTGAGTTGGTACCATATGACATTTTGATTAAAAAAACAGAATGGTATAAAATTAACGTTGCACGTATTAAATGGATTAAAAACTGACTGATAGGCCTTAAAATGTAACTGTAAATGGGTAAACATTATTGTTTCCAGTGGGGTCCTGCAGGCATCAGTTCTTGACCCTATGCTATTTAACATAATTATCAATGACATGTAAGAAAACAAAATTAACCCTGATAAAGTTTGCAGATAGCACACAAATTAGGGGAGTGGTAAGTAATCAAGAGGACAGAGTGATCTAGATCTCTTGGTAAACTGGCCACAAGCAAACAATATGGCTAAATGTAAATGAATTCATGTAGGAACAAAGAATGTAGTGCATACTTACAGGATGGGGGACTCTATCCTGGGAAGCAGTGACGCTAAAAAAAGATTTGGGGGTCTTGGTGGATAATTTGAATATGAGCTCCCAATGTGACACAGTGGCCAAAAGAGCTAATGCGATCCTGGGATCCATAAACTTGGATCTTGAGGAGGAGTAAAGAGGCTATTTTACCTCTGTATTTGGCAATGAATTACATGCAAAGTAATTAATCAAAGAAACAATTTACAAAGGATCATAGTGGATTCTCCGTCATTAACCATTTTTAAATCAAGATCAGATGTTTTTATAAAAGATCTGCTCTAGGAATTATTTTGGCGAAGTTTTATGGCCTGTGCTACACAGGAAATCAGACTAGATGATTACAGTGGTCCCTTCTGGTCTGAGAATCTGATTTTTCTTCAAGTGATAGTCCTATAAGTATTTGAAACGCAGGTGGGCATGCATGCCATGCGCCAGAGCCAGAAGTTTTCAGTAGCAGTATCTGTTAACCTGCACGTGTGTCGTACGTTGCCTCGTGCTCCAGGTGAGGTTATAAGAGGCTGTGTGGGACGACAGTCTTTCAGTTCCCTATCACCGCCTCATGGTTGGAGTCGGAATCTGCTTTCCTCCATGCTTGTAGTCTGCTAGGAGAATGCTTTGTCTGTGTGTATATTGTTAGCTTGTTTAATCTTCTTGTGTAGATAGTTCATAGTTAGTTAGTGTAGTTGGTTTTGCCCCACTCGGGGCCCACCCCAACTTAGTTGAGGACCATGCCCTATGTTCTGGGTTCAAAAACTGTGTTGTGCCCTCGCTCGTTCTCAATGAGCGACAAGCACTGCTGCTGCTTGTACTGCTTGGGGGTTGCACATCTTGCTGCACACTGCGAGATCTGCAAGTCTTTTCCCTCATGGACCCACCTTTTGTGATTCCGGAAATTCCTTATGGAAGAGGAGGCTATCCACTTGTGGAATCCAATCCGATCTGGATCCAGTGCAACCAACGGTGCACTGTCCTTCAACCAGTGGTGAGTGTCCCACCCACTACTTCCTGTCTGGATCCGATGGTATCACTGGCACAGGACAAGTCCAAGCATGAGGGTCATAAGCTCTCTAATGGGCATCGCGGCATGTCCCTGTTGCAGACTTCCACTAAGCACAGCATTTGGTCCCTGAGCCATGCCATGTCGGGTGAGATGTTGCATGTGGACCCCACCTAAGCTCTTCTCTTCCAGGGGTAAAGCTAAGAGGCAAAAGGTACACGACAGCCCTCCATGGCATGCACCTCCATCACAACCAGAGTCTCCACACTGCACATGCCTCCACACTCCAGCCGTCGGAGAAATGTCTCCTAGACACCTGGGTGCATCAAGCCTCTGCTCCCAATGGTGCATCCAGACCTGCCATTTCCGCTGCTCTTGGTACAACAGCCCCCTACTCCAGTGGACACACCGCTTCTTTGGCTTCTCTTGGGCCAGAGACCACACCTGGCAGTTGCACTTCGGCCATTGGCACTGAGGGTTCCACCGCTACCAGAGTTCTCTTTGGACTCAGGTGGCTGTTCTGCAGAGGAACCGTCATTCTCCCCTGTGTCCCTGTGCAGTTCAGACTCCCAGGTGTGACCGCTGCACCAGGCAGGATATACTTGGGCACTACCGCCCTGGTATAGATGCCCTGGTATAGATACCCTTGGGGCCTCTGTACCCCTGGGACCCAACCCACTGGGCACAGTGGCCGCCCAGGGACCCGTAACACTGCCCATATCTGCCTTCCCAGGTCTCGCAAGCTTTTGTCTGGACTCCTGTGCTGGAAACGCCCAGTTCGCACCGGAAACGGAGACTGAGTGGGAGCCAATACCAATGGTTGTCTCATCCTCTCCTGACGAAGCCTTGATTTCCCCAGCCCTCTTGCCTCCTGATGATTAAGGCTACAATTTGTCATGGGTATTTTTAGTAAAAGTCACGGACAGGTCGCAGGCAATAAACCAAAATTCACGGCCCGTGACCTGTCCATGACTGATACTATAAATACTCCTGACTAAATCTTTGAGGGGAGCACTGCTGGAGGGGGGTGCCTCAGGAGGAGCTGGGGCCTGCTGCTGGTGAAAAGTGGGGGCCGCTGCTGGGGGGACAGGGCCAGCAGCTCCAGCTGCCAGAGGCTGCTGATCAATGGCTGCTCCGTCTGTCCAGGGGCCATTGAGCAAGGGCTGCTCCGAGCACCCAGGGACTGCTGCCAGGGTTCACCAATAGTGGCTGTTTCCAGGGACCGCTGCCAGGGTCCGCCAAAAGTGGCGCTCCAGCTGCCCCGAAGATCACTTCTCAGGTGGTCCCCAGGGCCAGTCACACCAGTTGCTGCTTGGGTGGTGCCTGGGGCTGCTCTAACAGCAGCCAGTGCAGCTGACTGCAGGGTCACCCGAGCTGGCTGCAGAGCCACTCCTGTAGCCAGCTGCTTGGGCAGGCCTGGGGGCAGCCACGTTGGCCACCGCAGAAGTTATGGAGGTCACAGAAAGTCATCGACTCCATGACTTCCGCTACAAACACAGAGCCCTATTGATCACTGCCAGCACCAAGAGGTGCTGCAGCAGGTGTTTCTGGACTTGGGCACCTCTAGAGGAAGTCCAGGACCAACACCACCAGCTGTTGGACATCCTCCAGCCCAGGGGACCATCGCACGTCACGCTATCTTCCAGTCTGCATAAGCAGTCCGGCACGCACCAGTTTCATGTACCCCCATGCCTAAGAGGTTGGAACGTTGGTACTTTGTCCCATCCAAGGGGGTGACTTTCTTTTTTCTCTTCCTCCTCCCACCCCACACACACTTTGCTAGTGGTGCACACGGTGTCTGAACGGGTGAGGAGCTTCTAACCCCTACGGCGGCCAAACGCTCGACTTCTTGGGCCATAAGGTATACTCCTCCACAGCCCTGCAGTTCCACATCTCTTAACTACTGTACTCTGCTAGCGAAGTTTGACTTTCATAACTATGCCAAGCTATGGATCTGCCATAGGACAAACAGCAGCATTTCCAGGCCCCAGTGGAGGAAGGTCGCCTGATGGCCAAGGTCGGCCTCCAAGCTGCAGTGGATGCAGCAAATACATCCTTCCAGTCCCTTGCTGCAGTCCTCTGGCTTCCCCAGGGAGATCCAGACCATCATCCCGTACCTCCTTCTTTGACAAGGACAATTTGTTCTAAGTGAAGACAGACAAGTCCCTCCACTCTCTGAAGGACTTTAGAGCAACATTCTGGTCTCTTGGGAAATACATCCTAGCACCTGGTCAAAAGCAATCCAGTTATGCTCCTATGCACCATACCAGGCCACCTACCCCCGGTATCAGGAGCCTGCACAACAGCATGCTCAGTCACAGTGTCTGCGACACTCAGCCACCGCCACCTCCTCTGCATGGCATCCACCAAAGGGACGGTTTTGATGTGGATGTTGAGACCTGCGAACCCCCCACATCACCATCCCCGGCCCCACAACCTTTGGGGACCATCTTGCCTTATTTGTCCATGATTGGGACAAGATCATCACGGACTGTTGGGTATTAGAGATCATACAGCACGGTTACTCAATCAAATTGCTTTCCCTTCCCGCTGCGCGCCTCCCGCCCCTCCCAGATGCTTAGTGGGATTCTCATCGCAACCTCCTACAACACGAGGCAGACACCCTCCTTGTGAAAGGCACAATAGAACCAGTGTCTAATCCCTTAGTCAGCAAAAGCTTCTACTCCCCATACTTTCTCATCCCCTTCTCGATCTCTGACTACTCAACACATCATGAAAACTGAGTTCTGTATGGTGACTCTCGCTTCCATCATCCCCTACCTCGCCCAGGGGTCATGGTTCACAGCTCTCAACATGAAGGATGCGTATTTCCACCCTGACATCTGCCTAGCCCTCTGCAAGTTTCTTTGCTTTTGCATGGGTGACGACAACTACCAGTTCAGAGTCCTCCTCTTGGGCATTGCAACAGCCCCAACGGTCTTCACCAAAGTCTTCGTGGTCGTGGCAGCTCAATTAAGGCGGCTGGGGTACTCTGTGTTCCCTTCCTTAGATGACTGCCTCACTGAGATGTCAGCCATCTGCGCTCTTTGTTCTCTCCTCGCCACTCTTGGTATCCAAATCCACAAGGAAAAATCCATGCTCTTCCCAACACAGACAGTCCACTTCATTGGGGCATGCCTGGATTCCATGGTGGCTCACGCCTTTCTCCCGGCAGGCCATTTTGCCACCCAGACAGCAGTCCTATGTCGCAACCCACACACCACGGTGTGTCACTGTCTCTGCCTCGTTGGCCCCATGGCAGCCTGCACCCATGTGACACTGCATGCGCACTTGCACATGCGCTGTCTATAGTTGAGGCTCATATCAGTCTGCAGGCTCCATGTCGACCACCTGGATGTCACACTGATTGTCCCAAGTCTAGTCCAGGCCTCTCACCTGGTGGACCAACCCTTCCAAAGTGATGATAGGCACCCCCTGCCCCACTCCCATCCCAACCACCACTCTCACCACAGATGCCTCCCTAGCTGGTTCAGGTGCTCACCCTGGATGGCCATGCCATCCCAGGGGCTTGGACTCGGCACAAGGCCCACATGCACATCAATATCCTGAAGGTGTGGGCAATCCGCCTTGCCTACCTTGCATTCCTGCCCTTTATCCGAGCATGCTATGTTCATCTCCTTTCCTACAATACCACTGCAGCAGCATACATAAACAGGCAGGGAGGCACCAAGTCCTGGTCACCCGGTGTGGAGATCATCTGCCTCTGGAACTGGTATATCTGCCACAGTGTCACACTCTGCGTGACATACCTCCCGGGAATGTAGAAAACTCTGGTGGACACATTCAGCTGGATCGGGTACCTCAATCGTGAGTGGAAGCTACACAACCCCACTCTCTGCTGCCTCTGCCAAGCCTAGGGCACCCGTCACTTGGACCTTTTTGCCACTTGCAAAAACTGCAAGTTCCCCCTCCTCTAATCAGGAAAGATATCTTGGAGTCATTGTGGATAGTTCTCTGAAGATGTCCACGCAGTGTGCAGCAGCAGTCAAAAAAGCAAACAGGATGTTAGGAATCATTAAAAAAGGGATAGAGAATTAGACTGAGAATATCTTATTGCCCTTATATAAATCCATGGTACACTCACATCTTGAATAACTGCATACATATGTGGTCTCCTCATCTCAAAAAAGATATACTGGCATTAGGAAAGGTTCAGAGAAGGGCAACTAAAATGATTAGGGGTTTAGAACGGGTCCCATATGAGGAGAGATTAAAGAGGCTAGGACTTTTCAGCTTGGAAAAGAGGAGACTAAGGGGGGTTATGAGAGAGGTCTATAAAATCATGAGTGGTGTGGAGAAAGTGAATAAGGAAAAGTTATTTACTTGTTCCCATAATATAAGAACTAGGGGCCACCAAATGAATTGAACAGGCAGCAGGTTTAAAACAAATAAAAGGAAGTTCTTCTTCATACAGCGCACAGTCAACCTGTGGAACTCCTTGCCTGAGGAGGTTGTGAAGGCTAGGACTATAACGGTTTAAAAGAGAACTAGATAAGATCATGGAGGTTAAGTCCATTAATGGCTATTAGCCAGGATGGGTAAGGAATGGTGTCCCTAGCCTCTGTTTGTCAGAGGGGAGATGGATGGCAGGAGAGAGATCACTTGATCGTTACCTGTTAGGTTCACTCCCTCTGGGGCACCTGGCTTTGGCCACTGTCGGTCGACAGGATACTGGGCTGGATGGACCTTTGGTCTGACCCAGTATGGCCGTTCTTATGTACTGCTCCTGGGGGGCCAACGGGCGTGATTCCTAAGTCAATGCTCTCCTCTTTCTGTGGCAAGGTGGCCTCCACTACACCTTCCTCCCTCCCCCGCCCCATTCCCCTGGTACTGTGCAAGATCCAACACGATTGGGCCATGGTCCTGTTAATAGCCCCATTTTGGTCCCAACAGTTCTGGTTTCCAGACCTGCTCAGACTCTCCACCCATCCCCTAATCCACCTCCCGACACTGCTGGATCTCTTCACCCAGGACTGGGGCAGAGTCAGACGTCCCTGCCCAGGCTTGCTTTGCCTCCTGGCCTGGCTTTTGGATGTTGGTTGCACGTAGACATTGCCTGCTTGACACCAGTGCAGCACATACTTACGCTCAGCAGACGAGCTTCCACATAGGCATTCTACACAGTGAAATGGAAGCATTTCACCACCTGGGCACAACACTTCTATTTCCCCTTCAGTGACATCTTTCATTCCTACCGTCCTGGAGTACCTCCTGGAACTTAGGACCTCAGGCTTCGCCATCAGCTCAGTCTGAGTCCACTTGGCAGCGCTTAGTACGTTCCTCCCACTGGTTGACAGCCACTCAATGTTTACCCTTTCTGAAAGGGCTGACAAATAACTTCCCATCGGTCCTTTAAACTACTATCCCCACACCAGGACCTCAATCTTGTAATCTCTGCCCGCACCAGACCTCCCTTCGAGTCCCTGGCCACGTGCTCCCTCTCACCTTATCCATGAAGGTCATCCTTCCCATTGCCATCATTTTCACTAAGCGGGTCAGCGAATTGGCAGCCACAATGGCCGACCTACCATATACAGTATTCCAAAAATACAAAGTTTCATTATGCCTTCACCCTAAGTTTCTTCTGAAAGTGGTCTCAGAGTTCCATCTCAGTCAGTCCATTCACTTCCTGGTCTTCCATCCTAAGCCACATGTCTCTACAGCGGACAGGACCCTGCACTCATCCAACATCTGCCATGCATTTGTGTTCTATCTTGACAGGACCCACGTCTTCTGTACCTTTTCATAGGCATTGTGGCGAGGTCGTGAGGACAAGCTCTCTCTTCACAGCACATATCAAAGTGGGTCTCTACAGAATGCTGCAGGCAGGCTAATACCCTGCTGCCCGACAGGATTACAACACATTCCATGCAGACACATGTGACCTGGCGCTCCGTCCATACCTTCCCCACCCACTATGCCATCACCCAGGGAGCGGCGAAAGATGCAGCCATCAGCCATGCCATCCTGCAGACAACGATACTTCTTGTGTCCTCACACGTCTCCAAGCTGATCACTACTTGGTATTCACCCACATTTGGAATACATATAGGGACTACCACTTGAAGAAAACAAATATGTTTTGTTTCTGGGAGACACCTCTCAAATAGATAAATATCAAGACTAGACATCTATGTGTAGATGGCCCATTAAGGACACTTCACTCTATCAGTGGGCCATAGAAGAAACTCATCCTGCCCAGATAACTCTCCCAAAGGATGCCTTAGACAGCAAGGGGCCAATGGCCAACCCCTGTGAGTCAGCAAACCATGTAAGGACGTGATATGCTCATATGACCCTGGCTCCGTCTTGGGCTAGTAACTTTCCACAAACAGGAGCTGTGGGCTTTGTTTGGGACAGAGTATATAAAAAGGCACCTGAGACATCTCCATTTTATCTTCATTTCCTGCTTCATTTTTCTGGACTGGATTATTAACAAGGAAGCTCAAAACAAGGACTGATAACCCTTAATCTGTCTGGGTAATTTCCAGAGAGACTTTTGCAAACGAGAAGTTTATTTCATCACTTCTACAAACCTGATATAAGAACTTTGCAATTAATTGTATGTATATGATTCCTTAGCCAGTTATAACTCTCTTCTCTCCTTTTCCTTTTAATAATAAATCTTAGTTATTAAGGATTGGCTGTAAGCAGGTATTTGGGTAAGATCTGAGATTCATATTGACCTATGGGTAAGTGTCCAATACCTTTGGGATTGGTAGAACTTAAAGTATGGTGAATAGGCTTTTCAGTAACCCCTCACTATATTAGACTTGGTTGTCTAGATGGGATCCAAGAGCTGGAATATCTAAAGGAGATTGTGTTTGGTTTCTTATTAACCAGTGTGGCACTACAGATAGCTCTCTTATTACTGGACTGGTGAATCTAATTACAGAATAAACCGCCAGTTTTGGGGATTATCAGCCCTATTTCTTGCAGTCTGCCCTGAGTGTGGCATTGTCAGTGTGGCCCATCCAGACACCTGGTCACACCCACTCACCATCCCCCCTACTGCAGACTGCGCTACTTAGTGGTGAGAGGGTGACTGAAGGGGCATCGCCCTGCATGGCTTCTTATAACCTTGTCTGTAGCATGAGGCAATGTATGACTCAGGTGCAGGTCACTGACCCTGCTAAACTTTCACCTATGGCGCGCAAGTGCGCCCACTTTTGAAATACAGAGAGGGGCCACACATCTCGAAGAACCTCCAGTTACAGGTAAGTAACCTCCTCAACTCCCAGATTTCAGCGCTAGGATTGGGTAGAGCCACTTACATGCACTCTTCTCCAATGCTGGCAATTTTGTCTATTACCCAACCTGATGTAGATCTCTAGCAGTGAAGTGTTTGTTTTTTTTATTGATGTGCTATGCTAATTTCAGAAGCTGTGAAATCTGTTTCTGAGGTGTCTCAGTGGGTCCATAGCACAATTTGCAGCCGTGAGAACTCAATGCAACTGCTTCGGGTCCAGAAACTGCTCAAAGGACGGAAGACCAAGGTGCTGACTCCAGGTGGGTCCTACTCATCAGCCAGACTAAGTGAATTGGAGGCAGCTTTGTGATCGCTTTTGATTCAATTCAAATAGACTTGGGGAGGAAAATTGGCTAATGTCTCACAAACAGGGTATGATAAATGGAAATTATGAATGAGAGAGGCGACTAGTGGGCCCCCAGGGTGTGGGGCTGCCTGGTTGGATTCACAATCTTCATTTAATGACCTGGAAGTGGAGGTAAGTAGCAGGTTAATGGCTCTTGTAGGTAACGCTCAATTGGGAGGAATTTATGACTTGCAGTGAGGACAGGAAAATGATCCAAAGTAGCTCATGGACATCATTTTGGAAAAATGTAGCTAATGTCTCTACCTCATCTTTTAATATGTAGAGAAAGCTGACAGTTGTGTTTTCATCCCTCATGCGAGCTCCCCTCTTCCCCCACCCCTCCCCTCCCTAATGCAAGACTCCAATATGTTCTGGTGGCATGGGAACTGGTGTTTTGCCTCTGCAGTGCACGGGTAAAATCGAGGAATGTTGGTTGACAAGAATTGCAACACTAGATCAACCTAATGGTCCATCTAGTCAAGTCTCCTGTTTCTAAGAGTGGCCAGTATAATATGTCTTTTGAGGAAGGTGGGTGCAGGCATGGGTTCTGTGCCAGTGCAGACTAATATTGTTAATGATAACATACCTACTGATCAGGGTCATAGCCTCGGGTGGGCCAGTCCACCCATTTAGCATCCAGGCCCACCCAAATCTGAGCTGCCGTAGCGCTGCCATAGCAGCCTGGAGCGTCACTCAGGGACAGCAACGGGGGGGGAGGAGAGTATGGGTACACCCCCACACACACACCCCACCCCCATTAATCATCTTTGTCACCGCCTGCAGTTTCTGCCTCGGCCCCTGCCCTGGGATTCCCTTCCCCAGCCCCTCCTCCCCGCTTTCTGCCATAGTGGAAGTCGGGCAGAGCGTGGCTGGAGACATGCCTAGGGAAAGGCACTGCAGCTAGTGCTCTCACTGAGCCCCACTAGATGGTGCCCAGCATAGGCGCCGACTTCTACTGGCACTGGTGGGTGCTCGACCCCTCCTCTGACCCTGGCCCCACCCCAACTCCACCCCTGCCCTGCCCCCATTCCAGCCCCGTCCCCGCCTCTTCCCCTGAGCGTGCCATGTTCCCACTCCTTCCCCTCCCTCCCGGAGCTTGCTACAGCTGTTTGGCGGTGGCAAGCACTAGGAGGTAGGCGGAGGAGCGGGGACGCGGCATGCTCAGGGGAGGAGGAGGTGGGGCGGGGCGGGGATCTTGGCTGCCGGTGGGTACAGAGCATCCACTGATTTTTCCCCATGGGTGCTGCAGCCCTGGAGTACCCACAGAGTCGGTGCCTATGGTGCCCAGAGCAGGGAAACTGGGCTGGCAGCAGAGTTCTACGAGATGGGGCCCGGGAAGCCTGCTGAGTTCTGTCCCTTTCTCACCTGCAGCCTCCAGTAAGTGTTTGGAGCCCAGGATCAGTCGGGGGGTGGAGGAAGCAGCAGGGCCCAGGGGCATTGGGTGAGGGCCCGGCGTTTAAAGTGCCCCCCAAAAGTAGTCATATTTAAATCTCTGGGCACCTGAAATCCAGGACGGCGCTATGTGCCTGCCCTTCAGAAAGCTACGCTCCTACAGCTCTGCTTTGCCATTTTTTGAGCAACCCCATACACGTGCCCAGGTCAGCAGGGGAAGTCCTAGGAAGAGGGTGTGGCATCGGGGGAGAAGCTGAGCTACCACAGTCTGTCATTGTCCGTCCAGCCAAAAGTCGCGGCCCACCCAAATTTCCACTCCTAGCTACGTCACAGGAGCTGATAAAGTTTCTAAATTACACTGTTGGGGGTGGAAAATGATGAGTGATCATCAGTGTAGCTAGATAAACTAGTCAAAATCAAACAATAATATATGCTTTTCAGTATAGCCAAGTACAAGCTTATACATTAGAAATGGAGGTTGATAATCTGAAAACCAGAGACTCTGGAAAGCACTTAGAGTTGGATTCAGAAGGGGGACTTGGTGCTTAAAGTGGCAGTTAGGCACCACTAGTGTATGCAAAACCCTTGCTTGGCTGTCTCCTAACCCTGAAGGTGCCTAAAGTCCCTAGGCACCTAAATTTCTGTCATTAAAGTTCACGAAGTAACTACATTTCAGTGGCTGTGTGTGCACAAAGCTACCTCAGTCCTGACACTGACCACCAGTTTGGTCCCTAACTTGTACCTAAACCACAGTGGCATTCTCCAGACTGGTGTTCTCCTTCCTATCTTGCTTTTAGGGTCTGATCCAGTAGGCATGCTTGGAGCACCCCTAAACCTACACAAAATGGCACAAGGTGGGGGAACAGCTATAACTTAGCCTAGTGGTTAAGGCACGCACTCAGGATGTGGGAGAGACAGGTTAAATTCCCACCACTGCCAGCTGTGGAGTAGAGATTTTAACTGCGGTTTCCCACCTCCCAGGAGAGTACCCTAACCACTGAGCTTGGGGTATTCTGGGGCAGGGTGCTCTGTCTCTCCTGTTGAACCTGTTCCACTGTGTGTAAAATAACCAAATACACATTGGGCCAGAGAATTAGAATGGCTGTCTATAGTCCAGTGGTTAGGGCAGTCCCCATGTAGCAGGCAGACCCAGGTTCAGTCCCCTTCTCCAATGTATATTTCATTACTAGTAATTGCAAGTCCATGCTGTCACATGGGTGTAATTCCTAAAGTCATGTGGTTTAAAAAACCCCACCAAAAATGGCTGAGACTTTAAAAATTGGAGGGTAACAGATCATGAATGCCAGTCATGATTCAATCTGCTGCTATTTTGAACAAAGAGTTCTTCCCCATTGTTTGTAGCTGTATCCATCACTTCACAGTGACTCATTTGAGGCTTTGGAGTGATATTTGGTGTAGCCAAATCAGTTGATTTTATCATTTAATTGTATTATTGTCATGGTTAACTCATATGTAATCAATATGTGATGCATAGTTATTAGTAGGATAGGACTATGGGAGTATAAGACTGAAAAGTATTTAGGAGCAATGGATGTGTATTAGGTTTTAGTAAAACAAGGCTGTAATGCAAGGCCTACTGGGTAAGGCCTGCATGATTTCAGCGTAGCCACTCTAGACTTCAGTCTTAAGGATACTTGTCATGAGTGGGTGACCAAAGATTGACCCTATGCCAATAAAACTACAAGATTACTATAAAGGATGTGCCAATAGGTGATGTTATGGAAAAATAGAACACAATGTATCCATCTAGACTGCAAGGTACCTGACTGGAACATCATGGAAAGTTCTGTTTTGACCACAGAACAGAACACAGGAACATATGCGCATAAATGTTAATAAGATGCTGCTAATAATAAAGGGAACAAAGAGAATACCCTATGAAAAGTGGAAGAGTACTTATGGCACCTTAGAGACTAACAAATCTATTAGAGCATAAGCTTTCGTGAGCTACAGCTCACTTCATCGGATGCGTACAGTGGAAAATATAGTGGGGAGATTTTATATACACAGAGAACATGAAACAATGGGTGTAACCATACAGACTGTAACAAGAGTGATCAGGAAAGGTGAGCTATTACCAGCAGGAGAGCGGTGGGGGGCGGGGGGACCTTTTGTAGTGATAATCAAGGTGGGCCATTTCCAGCACTTTACAAGAACAGTAGGAGGGGAAATAAACAAGGGGAAATAGAAAAGGAGTACTTGTGGCACCTTAGAGACTAACCAATTTATTTGAGCATAAGCTTTCGTGAGCTACAGCTCACTTCATCGGATGCACGAAATAGTTTTACTTTGCGTAATGACACATCCACTCCCAGTCTTTATTCAAGCCTAAGTTAATTGTATCCAGTTTGCAAATTAATTCCAATTCAGCCGTCTCTCGTTGGAATCTGTTTTTGAAGTCTTTTTGTTGGAAGAATTGCCACTTTTAGGTCTGTAATCTAGTGACCAAAGAGATTGAAGTGTTCTCCGACTAGTTTTTGAATGTTATAATTCTTGACGTCTGATTTGTGTCCATTTATTCGTTTACGTAGAAACTGTCCAGTTTGGCCAATGTACATGGCAGAGGGGCATTGCTGGCACATGATGGCATATATCACATTGGTAGATGCGCAGGTGAACAAGCCTCTGATAATGTGGCTGATGTGATTAGGCCATATGATGGTGTCCCCTGAATAGATATGTGGACACAGTTGGCAACGGTCTTTGTTGCAAGGATAGGTTCCTGGGTTAGTGCTTTCGTTGTGCAGTGTGTGGTTGCTGGTGCGTATTTGCTTCAGGTTGGGGGGCTGTCTGTAAGCAAGGACTGGCCTGTCTCCCAAGATCTGTGAGAGTGATGGGTCATCCTTCAGGATAGGTTGTAGATCCTTGATGATGCGTTGGAGAGGTTTTAGTTGGGGGCTGAAGGTGATGGCTAGTGGCATTCTGATATTTTCTTTGTTGGGCCTGTCCTGTAGTAGGTAACTTCTGGGTACTCTTCTGCCTCTGTCAATGTGTTTCTTCACTTCAGCAGGCGGATATTGTAGTTGTAAGAACACACTCCAAAATGTATGGGGTGGGGAAGAACAGATAAGGAAAAAGAGGGTTGGAACCCTTATGCATATGCATAAGGTGTTAGGTGTCATCAGAACAAGATAGAGGTGCCCTGGCTGGGCTAAAGTGCGAAGACTCAAAGGGAGGACGTCATTGGGATGACCCAAGCAGGAACCACCCTCTATCAATGACCACCTGTCAATGAGAGATCCAGTATGTGAGTATGAATATGGCATTGGCTATTGCTTTGGCTCTCTCACATTGTGTAGATGTGCATGTGAGTGTAATTTATAATACGAACAAAATCTTCTTGCTTGTAAGTGTTTTTGTGGTTACTGTAGTCATTCTTTGTGTACTCCTCACTCTTCCAATCTAAAAGAATCCTAAAGGGTAACTTTCTCCCTATTGATCTGAAAACTGGAGCACAACAGGGGCTGAGCTCACTCTCTAGAGACACTATAGTTTAACACAAGACGATCCAGTCAATTTAAAATAAAGGCTACGTGGGGGTTATTGTGTGTGCTGATTGTCTCGCTGTACAGATGGTTGTATTGATTTGTGTCTGGTGGGTGTTGTATTGGGAGATTTTGTGGATTTGTGTAGGTGGTGGTTGGGCACTTGGATGTGGCAGCTGGGCCAAGTAGTCCACCATCTGTGCAGTCTCCCTCATATAACCAATGAAACTGTTGCATACAAATTACCTGTAGACTAAGGGTGGTGATTGGTTGAGTTATATTGGATATCACAGTGGTCTAGAACTTTTGGCATGGCATAGCTACAGCCTTAGCATAGCTGTATATTGCATTGGTGTAATTCATAAAGTCAAAATGGCTGAGAACGTATAAACTGGACAATAACAGACCATGATGATTCAGCCTGGTGGTATTTTGAACAGCATAAGCTCACAACCATGCTTGTAGCGGCTTCCTTCATTTAATGTTGACTTAACAGACATTTTAAGCTTCAGAGTGACATTTCTGGAATCTTGTATACGTTTACACACAGTGGAACAGCTTCAACAGAAGAGACTGAGAGCCCTTTCCCGGAATACCCCATATCCCAGTGGTTAGAGCACCCTACCGGCAAAGGGGAGACTCAAGTTCAAATCCCTTCTCTACATCAGGCAGAGGAGGAAATTGAACCTAGGTCTCACACATGGTAGACCAGTAGTTAGAGCACTCACCTAAAAGAGGGGTACCACCATTTTCTTCCATTTGTGTTTTCTTCCCTTTTACTTTCCTTGAAAAAGGACTGACCCGGCTTAAGCACCGAACGCAAGGACAGGGTTCATGGCTGTGAATCCCAAGTAGAGGGAGGCACCTTCCTCTGTCCTGGATTTAAGCCCCAACCCTCAAAGTCACTTAGGCACTGTGCCCCTCTCTGCCATTTCCTACTGGCTAGCTTAGGTGGTTCCGCACTCAGTATGCTGGCTTTTGCTAATCCCATTCTTAGGTCACTAACTCTTTCCATGCATTGTATAGGGAACCAGGGTGCCAAACACAGGGTTGTAAATTCCTCTTGCAGCAAGTGACATAAAAGTATTGCCGCACCTACGTTCCCCTTGTGAATTCCACCTTTGAAGGTCATTGTAGATAAACAACTGAACATAGCAGTTTTGTTCACAGCATTCCACTGGGAAAATGCAGTTCTTGGTGGTATAAACACAGGAACAGAGGGCACGACCGGCCTACTGTGTCCAATTCTTTGGAAAGCACACTGGAAAAATTGCAGATGGTTCAGAGAAGTGCTACAAGAATTAGAGATCTGGGAAATCTGCCTTACAGCAAACTCCTTAAGTCTCTCAACCTTTTCTTATATAAGCTAAATTATGATCTAAAGATACCTACACAGGGAGAAAATGTCTGATAGGGGATGTCACAGGTCAACAGGATCAGTGCTATGCTCCCATCTTGGGGACAGTCTCTTGGAGGAATCCCTTCAATTTGCCAGACACCCCTCTCCCCCTCCCCAAGGGCTCTCACTCTTCTTCCAGGGTAAGTTAGGGGGCCTCACCACCTCCTTAGATTGTACTCCTGGGACTCCAGCACTGCTGCTTCACATCATGAGCTCTGTTCAACAAGTCCAACTTAGATAGATTCCTGGTATAGACTTGTACACTCTTCAGGGATTAATCCACCTCATAAAGCATCTGCAGTGACACTCAAACAGTATTGTCAAAACAGTCAGGTTTATTAGGACTGGTCTACATGGGGGGAGGATAGATGGTAGTTACGCAACTTCAGCTACGTGAATAATTTTTTTTTAGTTAATTGCATGAGTGAACTGCCATTAATCAACAGCCCTAATAAAAAATGTACCAGGAAATTCCATATAAACACTCAAAAACCAGGAAATGGCCAACGTTAAGTTTTTCTGTATAACCTTAACATGTGTCCTGTTTGTGCATATGCATTACATTAGTCTTTAGTTATATGATCAGGTACTGTTATTTATGTATGACCAGTATCTCATCCAGTAAACAAGGCAGGGTGTGCTCATTCAGCAGAGGCGATAAAAAGAAAATTATAAATAATTATACTTAAACATTATTTAAAAACAAGTATTTCATTTTTATAAGGAAAACCAACTCATTCTTCAAGAGCTTGATTGTACATGCATTCATAGAATCATAGAATATCAGGGTTGGAAGGGACCTCAGGAGGTCATCTAGTCCAACCTCCTGCTCAAAGCAGGACCAATCCCCAACTAAATCATCCCAGCCAGGGCTTTCTCAAGCCTAACCTTAAAAATATCTAAGGAAGGAGATTCCACCACCTCCCTAGGTAACGCATTCCAGTGTTTCACCACCCTCCTGGTGAAAAAGGTTTTTCGAATATCCAACCTAAACCTCCCCCACTGCAACTTGAGACCATTACTCCTTGTTCTGTCATCAGCTACCGCTGAGAACAGCTCCCACTGAGAACAGTCTAGATCCATCCTCTTTGGAACCCCCTTTCAGGTAGTTGAAAGCAGCTATCAAATCCCCCCTCATTCTTCTCTGCTGCAGACTAAACAATCCCAGTTCCCTCAGCCTCTCCTCATAAGTCATGTGTTCCAGTCCCCTAATCATTTTTGTTGCCCTCCGCTGGACTCTTTCCAATTTTTCCACAACCTTCTTGTAGTGTGGGGCCCAAAACTGGACACAGTACTCCAGATGAGGCCTCACCAATGTCAAATAGAGGGGAACGATCATGTCCCTCAATCTGCTGGCAATGCCCCTACATATACATCCCAAAATGCCATTGGCCTTCTTGGCAACAAGGGCACACTGTTGACTCATATCCAGCTTCTCGTCCACTGTAACCCCTAGGTCCTTTTCTGCCGAACTGCTGCTGAGCCATTCGGTCCCTAGTCTGTAGCAGTGCATGGGATTCTTCCGTCCTAAGTGCAGGACTCTGCATTTGTCCTTGTTGAACCTCATCAGATTTCTTTTGGCCCAATCCTCTAATTTGTCTAGGGCCCTCTGTATCCTATCCTAGGTAAATTGAGTTTGAGACCCCTGGTCTACATGGTGGGGTTAGGTTGGATGGATTAGGTTAGGTGGATTTTTCACACCCCTGAGTGATGTAGTTATACTGATCTAGGTCGGTATTCTAGACCTGGCCTCAGTCTCACCTCCTTGCTTAGCCTCCAGATGAGAGTCCAGTCTCCGTCCAGCAGCCAACCTATCTCCCCACTTCACACCTTTGTTCTTGAGCTGCAGCTTCCCTGCAAAGAGGTGAGGAAGTCCATCTCCTGCTGGGTCATTTGGTTGCTAGGTATCAATACGGCAGTGATTTGGATTTGCCATTGTCTTTTCAGATGCTCCATTCATATGGGGACTAAGGCCCAAATAGCTAGGCAACATCCATACCCATGTCTCCTAGCATGCCCTGAAAGCAAACAGTCAATGTCTTCCCACTGGGTAACAATATACCATATAGGAGAAACTGAGGCACATATGGGATTCATAAAAATATAGAAAATTCCCACTTTGTCACAGGGAGCTCTTGAATCTAGCAAACAGAGGCATAGTGAGATCTGATGGCTGGAACGTGAAACAAAACAAATTCCAAGTGGAAATAAGGAGAACTTTTAAGTGAAGGTAATTAGCAATTAAAACACTATGCCAAGGGACATTGGTGGATTCTTCATAATTTGAAGTTTCTACATCAAGACTGGATGCCTTTTTCTAAAGGATATATGTTCTAGTTCAACCCAGAAGTTACAGGCTTGATGTACAAAATGCTGCTGAAATTCTCTGGCCTGTGTTATTCAGGTCAGACTAGATGATCACAGTGGAATGAATAACCTACCCATGGGCAAGTTTCTTCCTAATTCCCATCAATTTGAGGTTAGTTTGTCCTGAACCAGGAGGGATCATGTCCCTTTTTATCTTACGTGAAATATAATAAAGTTGTGCATGTTCTCACGGTACTTACAGAGACCCCATCTTTTTTTAAAACACCCTGGTAAGCTCTTTACCATGTGGCAGTGAGTGCCAAGCTAATGATGCAGTGCATGAAATAGATGTTAATTTGCTGCCTTTTCCCTTGTATTATATGGAGAGGATGAACAGAAGTTCTTGATTGATTTACTTTTTCTATCCCCTTTATTATTTTGTATCCCTCTATCATATCCCCTTAGTCTCAACCCTTCTATTTCTGTTACATTCTTTTTGAAGTAGGGTGGGTGAGCAGATCTGAACACAATACGCCAGGTGGGGTGTCCCATTACTTTTATAATGGCATTATAATTCAGTATCACTCCACATGTATATAACACTTTTTTATTCATGCCTGCATGCTTTTTCTGAGCACTTTTTGCACATTGAGCAGAGGTTTCTTCACCCTGCCCTCAGTCACATCAAGGGCTATTTCCTGAGTGATTAATAGTTTATTTAAAACCCAGTAATCTGTAAGAGTAGTTCACTTTATTCCTTCAATGGATACTGCCTGTGTCACCACTGAGTCCCATCTCACAGTTGTGCTTTCTCCCCCACAACAACTAGGGCGCTGGTATATCCAAGAAGGCTGGCTCATGGTGGTACCCACAAAGGGCGAAGAAGTGAAGCGTAAGATGTTCTTCCTCTTCTCCGATATCTTGGTTGCGACGAAGCCCTGCCACCCACTGCATCCCCTGAACTCGGACAAGTTTTCTTGCCAGGCAGTCTATCCACTTAACCAGTGCACAGTGGATAAAGTGTTTGGCCATACCCAGAGCCAGGGAGGGCTGCTCAGTGTAAGTTTCTCTCAGTTTCTCGCTGCAGCTCCTACAGCCCTCATTTCTGCCCCCTGCCCACAAACACATCCTGATCTAAAATAGAATGAATGTGAGAGAGGATAGTGGGTATAACTTACCACTGTGGCTGAGGCAATGATGGGGAGAGCCACAGTGAGTCTCTTAATTGCTGCAGGAGCAGCAGACTAGAGAGGGTAAAATAGTGGCAATGAAAAATATAAAGAGCTAGATTGTGGTAGGGAGGCTTCACTGCAGAGGGAAGAGCGAGGGAGAGAAGAGCCCACATCACCTCTGTGGGAGGCACAGTTCCGCTCTGACCGCCCTGGTGTGCAGCCTCCTCTCACTGCTGTACTTGGTTTGCTCGGGGTAGGGGCATGGCCCCTTGTGCCCTTAGGAGTGCACAGAGGAAGCAGTGCCTGGGAGGATTCTGCTCATTGTGCTGTCCCCAGTGCATCCACAAAGAGGCTACTTCCAAACTGGCCCCAAGGCAGCATGGTAAGTAAAAGGCAACAGAATGGTCACTAGGGCTTTGGCTCATCTGAAATCCTGCCAGCTAACATGTGGAGAGATGCTTTGGAACTGTTGCCAAGGGTGGAGCTCCTCCTCATGGCTGCTTTTCTTTCTTCCCCCATGTCTTTTCAGTGAAGGACCTGCCTTTTGGCTGCAAGGGCTTCTCCTGTTAGGGGTTATAATGCCTTGGGTAGAAGCATCCCAGAGGTCATTTGAAGTGCCTGCAGTTAGAAAAACATCTCCTGACTTGTCCCAATAATGCTAAAGCAAATTGCTCAATTTACATTTAAACTAAGACCCTATGCTTCCATTTATAGTTACTTCTGAGAACAGAGCCACATTAAAATGCAGTACAGGGAGTGTGGTCTCCTGGGTTCTACTGGATTCACCACAGACTTGGCCTGTGACCTTGAGCAAGAGGCTTCCTTTCTGGGCTGGTTTCTCAATATATAAAGTAAATCTGTAAATGAAGATGCCCCTATGCCGAGAGGAGAGCTTTTCCCGTCAGCATAGTTAGATACCACCTCTTGGGGAGGTGGATTGTCAGCCAGAGAAGCTCTCCTGTTGACATAGCACTCTGACAGCAGGGATTGCTCCATAAGGGCTGGAGGGCCTGGGGCTAGCCAACCCTTATTAGTACAGAGGCACACCTGGATTGGATCAGGTAATCCCTTATAAAGTACAGCAAGTGGCTGCAGTGAAGGGGGAAGCTCAGGAAACTGCAAGAAGAAAGAGGCTCCTACAGAGAAGACCTTGACACCAGGGGGTTTGGAAGCCAGAGCTAGAAACCTGAGGCTCCAGCCACATAGGGCCTGCTAATGTGGGAAAGGCCCCAAGCAGGAAGGCCTGGGTGTAGGATAAATTTGGAGACTGCTGGGAGTGAGAAGGCTCTAGCCAAAAGATCTGGGATGTGGGGTTTCCCTGCTGAGACTTATAGCCAGGAAAAGCCTAGGAACTCAACAAGAAGATAAAACCAATGGACTGTTTTGGAACTTGGAGGGGCTTTTTTGAACTTTATTTATGCAAACAAATGTGGACACACCCCCAGAAGGGGTGGTGAATGGACAAGAAAAGCCTATGTGGAGTATCAAGGGTGGCATTGACTTACTACCTCCATAAGATGCTGGGAGGAATATTAATTGTGTGTGAAGTATTTTGAGATCTGCAGCTGGAATTGGCCAGAGGGTAGGTCTGGTTCTGGTTCTGTGCCAGTGTAGCCTGGACAGCCCTGTTGCTTTTCTATTGCAAAAGGAAGATTACAGAAATTAGATGGGATGAGGTGCTAGTTGTCTCTGTGGCAGGGCTGTTTTCTGGGGCAAAGGAAATGTTAAAGATGGGTGTTGGACTCAACACCTTTCTTCTTCTGTTCCTTCCCTCTGAATCATCTGGCCCTGGCTGCTGCTAGAAGACATGATACTAGGCTAGATGGATCATTGGTCTGACCAAGTGTAGCTATTCTTATGTTCTCTTTCAGCTCTCCTTTCCCCACAAGACACTGCTGTTGATGTCAAGCAACCAGGAGGATATTAACAACTGGTATCTGAATCTGACAGCTGCTATCAGGTAGGTCTCATCTGCTTTCTGCTGGTTCAATAGGTGACTTCTTTTTTTCCTGATGTGTACTTGTGGTGTAGGAGGTGGGACAGTGCACCAAAGTGATCATGTGGGCTTCTGGAAGTGTATCCACAAGATGAGTGGCTTTAGCACCAGGCTGATTGTGGAAAGGAAAGGGAGCTTTGACTCTGAAGGCAAGCCTTAGAAGGAATAATCTCATGGTGCAGGTGAACAAAACATTAAGAGTGGGGTTTTCCTCATTTGTTGTTCTCCCTAGGCAGCTGAAAGCCAGGCCGACCCTTGTACGCCAGAAGGAATACCTGACAGAACAACCTGTCAGCTCAAGAGAGGCCCATACAGTCCAGAAAATGTGCCAGGATTTATAAGAGCAAAGGTGTGTGTCAATGTTCCCTCTAATTTTTTATGTCCATGTTCGGAATTAATTTTATGTGCACCAGTATGGAGGTGATGTGTGACAGGGGTGGGGCTGAGGGGTTTGGAGTGTGGGAGGGGGCTCAGGGCTGGAGTACGGGGGGTGAAGGCTCTGGAGTGTGGCCAGGGATGAGAGGTTTGGGGTGCGGGAAGGGGCTCAGGGCTGGGGCAGAGAGTTGGGGTGTGGGCTCCATCAGGGGTTGCAGGCTCTGGGGTGGGGCCAGAGATGAGGGGTTTGGGGTGTAGGCTGCCCTGAGACTGCAGTGGGGAGAGAGGACTGCCCCCAGCCCTCTCTCACCGCAGTAGCTTGGGGCCGGGGGAGAGGCACCTCTCCCCAGCCATGGCGGGGCCAGGCCAGGGCAGGGGCGCCTCTCCCCCCCGCACAACCCTTGAAAGCCTGCTGTGAGGTCACACCAGTTGTCACGGAGTCCCTGGGCGATGCTCTGGAACTGAAACTTTCTTGATTAAATCACTTTCACACCCTTCAGTAGGTAACACAATCACATCACCTTCACTCCAACCCTAACCCTAAGCTTAGAGGGAACTTAGGTGTGTATATTGTGGGGATACACAAAGAGTGGACCTGTGTGACAGACAATACCCTTGTGTTCACATCCTACACACTACTGTAATAATGTTTGTACAAGTATGCCTTTTAAGGTATCATATAAAAACTTGTAATTTGATGATCAACAGTATCATGGCAAAATGCCCGTAGCAGCATTATATGTGATGTTACAAGCATAAGCTGAAATTGTGACTCTAAAAGTATATTTTCCAGATTGGTTTGGCCACTTCCCAAACTTGTTCGTCAGAGACAAAGGGCAAGCTGATACCTCAGCCAGGTGTAAACAAGGCTGATAGACATTACCTGCTAAATGGCCATTCTTTGGCAGGAAAGGGGGCAGGGGCAAAAATCTGTATCTTGAGTTTCCTTCCACACAAACAGCCTGTCGCTTTGCTTCTAGCTGGAAATGCTCTCAAAGGGGGCAGAGGACTCTCTCTCCCTTCCCATCGCATTTTCTGCATCTGACAAAACAAAGGAAGCAGCAGTTGGACTCTGGGGGAGGGGTCCTTACATAAAGAGTTTGGTCAGCAAGACTGCTGAAAGCATGTGGTGAGAAATCTTTCCTTTGAATATAATCTATTGTTAGGCACCAGTGATTGTTTTATTTTTCTTGTAACCATTTCTGACTTATGACTCATTACTCGTACTCACTTAAAATCCATCTTTGCAGTTAATAAACTTGTTTTATCTAATCCACTGTGGTTTGCTGAAGTGTTTGGATAAATATTTAAAATAATAAACTGACATTATTCCCTGAAAAGAATAACAGACTTAATATATTTGTACTGGGCAGTATAAGACTGTAACAGACCCACTCTACCCCCATCTTCTTCCCTGCAGAAACTACACAAGCTCCACTAGCTGTGCACTCAGTGACCTTTTATTTCTAGTTCCTTCCACCAATATCACCACAGTCCCTGTTGAATACAGTAACTCCTCACTTAGTCATCCCGGTTAATGTTGTTTCATTGTTACACTGCTGATCAATCAGAGAACACGCTTGTTTAAAGTTGTACAATACTCCCTTATAATGTTGTTCACTGCTTTGTCCACTGCTTGCAGAAAGGGCAGACTGTTGGAGCTAGCTGGTGGGGGCTTGGAACCAGTGTGGACCAGCAGCTCCCCACACCCTAAGTTCCCTGTGCAGCAGCTGCCCAGCAGACTATCAATTGCCAGCAGTTCAGCTGTCTCTCTCCCCACTGCCATGTGCTGCTCCTGCCCTCCGCCTTGGAGCTGCTCCCGAGAGCCTCCTGCTTGCTGTGCAGGGGGGGTGGGCGGTGGAAGAGGGGTGCTAAAGTCAAGGTGTCCCCCTCCCCCCGCTTCTGCCCCCCACTCCTGTACCTTATCTCCACAGAGATTAGGTGGGGGGGACGCTACAGAGCTCAGGACAGAGGGAGCTTGCTGGCAGCAGCTGCTGTCTCAACTTGCTGATCTACTTTAAAAGGCAATGTACTTAGAGTGGGGTCAGCTTACTTAAAGGGGCAATGCATGTCTCTCTCTCACACACGCAAACACACACAGTGTGTCTGTCTCCCTCTGCCATGCTGTCTCCCCTCTGTGGTGCCTTGTAGAGTGTGAGGCTACATTAACAACAATTTGTTAACCCTTAAGGGCTCAGCCGAGTGCTAGTTCATCATTTATCAGTAAGGCATTCCCTGGGAAATACCCCATGCTCTTCATCCCGCTGACTCCACCACCTCAACCAAGCTTCACAATCATCACTGCTGTGTACAGTATTAAATTGTTCGTTTAAAACTTTGTGTGTGTGTGTATATACACACACACACACACACACATACATATGAGTCTTTTGTCTGGTGAAATTTTTTTCCCTGGAACCTAACCCCCCGCCCCCCAATTTACATTCATTCTTATGGGAAAATTGGATTTGCTTAACATTGTTTCACTTAAAGAAGCATTTTTCAGGAACATAACTACAACGTTAAGTGAGGAGTTACTATCAAAACCTCCTAACAGTAAGAACAGTAGGACAATGGAATAAACTGCCTTGGGAGGATGTAGAAGCTTTTTCACTGTAAGTTTTCAAAAGGAGACTGGATACCCACCTGTCTTAAATGGTTTAGACACAAATCTTGCATCTTTGCAGACCAAATGACCCTTGCGGTCCCTTCTAATCCTATGATTAATAAGTCAGAATGCTTTTACTAAGTTATCAACCAATTAAGTTATCAACTTGCACTAAGTTCAACAACTTATTTGCTGTGAGAATAGATCACTAAATATTTTCTGTCATACTGTTTAAATATGAATAGTACTATAGTAAATGAAATGATGAATTCACACTACTGTGGCTCTTTTATGTAATGTTTCAGAGTAACAGCCGTGTTAGTCTGTATTCGCAAAAAGAAAAGGAGTACTTGTGGCACCTTAGAGACTAACCAATTTATTTGAGCATGAGCTTTCGTGAGCTACAGCTCACTTCATCGGATGCATACCGTGGAAACGATATCCGATGAAGTGAGCTGTAGCTCACGAAAGCTCATGCTCAAATAAATTGGTTAGTCTCTAAGGTGCCACAAGTACTCCTTTTCTTTTATGTAATGCTGATTATTAATTGGGCTTCTGATCCACCAAGATCTGAGTATCACTGCTCTAAGCTTACCAGTGACAACCAGCGTGCTCAAAGTGCACTTGTCTAGACTTTTTGTTTGGAACATGAATGCAGAAAATCATGGAGCAAAGGTCCTCAAAGAATCAATTTTGAAGCACTACGAGCAGAGGAAAGTGATCAGGAACAGTCAGCATGGATTCACCAAGGACAAGTCATGCCTGAATAACCTAATTGCCTTCTATGACGAGATAACTGGCTCTATGGATGAGGGGAAAGCAGTGGATGTGTTATTCCTTGACTTTAGTAAAGCTTTTGATACAGTCTCCCACCGTATTCTTGCCAGCAAGTTAAAGAAGTATGGGCTGGATGGACTATAAGGTGGATAGAAAGCTGGCTCTATCATCAGGCTCAACAGGTAGTGATCAATGGTTCCATGTCTAGTTGGCAGCCGGTATCAAGTGGAGTGCCCCAAGGGTCGGTCCTGGGTCGGTTTGGTCAACATCTTCATTAATGATCTGAAGGATGGCGTGGATTGTATCCTCAGCAAGTTTGCAGATGACCCTAAACTGGGAGGAGTGGTAGATATGCTGGAGGGTAGGGATAGGATACAGAGGAACCAAGACAAATTAGAGGATTGGGCCAAAAGAAATCAGATGAGGTTCAACAAGGACAAGTGCAGAGTCCTGCACTTAGGACGGAAGAATCCCATGCACTGCTACAGACTAGGGACTGAGTAGCTAGGCAGCAGTTCTGCAGAAAAGGACCTAGGGGTTAGAGTGGACAAGAAGCTGGATATGCGTCAACAGTGTGCCCTTGTTGCCAAGAAGGCTAACAGCATTTTGGGATGTATAAATAGGAGCATTGCCAGCAGATCGAGGGACGTGATCTTTCCCCTCTATTCGGCACTGGTAAGCCTTCATCTGTAGTACTTTTTCCAGTTTTGGCCCCACACTACAAGAAGGATGTGGAAAAATTGGAAAGAGTCCAGCAGAGGATAACAAAAATGATTAGGGGACTGGAACACATGACTTATGAGGAGAGGCTGAGGGAACTGGGATTATTTAGTCTGCAGCAGAGAAGAATGAGGGGGGATTTGATAGCTGCTTTCAACTCCCTGAAAGGGGGTTCCAAAGAGGATGGATCTAGACCAGGGGTTCTCAATCTGGGGGTCGGGACCCTTCAGGGGGTTGCAAGGTTATTACGTGGGGGTCACGAGCTGTCAGCCTCCACCCCAAACCCTGCTTTGCCTCCAGCATTTATAATAGTGTTAAATATATAAAAAAGCTTTTTTCATTTATAAGTGGGGGGGGGGGGTTGCTGCACTCAAAGGCTTGCTATGTGAAAGGGGTCACTAGTACAAAAGTTTGAGAACCACTGATCTAGACTGTTCTCGGTTATAGCAGATGACAGAACAAGGAGCAATGGTTTCAAGTTGCAATGGGGGAGGTTTAGGTTGGATATTAGGAAAAACTTTTTCACTAGGAGGGTGGTGAAGCACTGGAATGGGCTACCTGGGGAGGTGGTGGAATCTCCATCCTTAGAGGTTTTTAAGGTCAGGCTTGATAAAGCCCAGGCTGGGATGATTTAGTTGGTGACTGGTCCTGCTTTGAGCAGGAGGTTGAACTAGATGACCTCCTGAGGTCTCTTCCAACCCTAATCTTCTGTGATTCTAAATTCTTCCCACATTACCATGTTTAAAGGTGAGGTTAATCTCCTTTATTTGACACTTAAGTTTGTACTCAAACTTTCTAAAACTGAAACTAGCCTAAAGGGTAACAGACTAAAAAGACCACAGGAGTTTACAGAACTAAGAGGCTGTATACTGGGTATTGCAATTCCTAACAAAGTGTAAGAATACCTTGTGTATGAAAGCGAGTCACCTGTTACACAGCTGCCTAAAAGACTACAGAATTGAGCACTGAGCAGTCACACCAGGGAACTGGGGAGGAGGGGGTGGGGCCGCAGGGGAGAAGAGTCCACGCAGCACCCAACAACAAATTACAATATAACTGCTATACTGCGTCAGACCAATGGTCCATCTAGCCCAATATCCTGTCTTCCAAAGTGGCCAATACCAGATGCTTCAGAGGGAAAGAACAGAACAGGCAATCATCAAGTGATCCACCTGAAATGGATTAAAATGGTACGTTACATACCTCAGTTTTTAGTTTTGCAATTTCATATTTGAGTTCCTTCAGAACTCTTGGGTGAATACCATCTGGTCCTGGTGACATCTTATTGTTAAATGTATCAATTTGTTCCAAAAACTCCTCTATTGACACCTCAATCTCGTACAGTTCCTCAGACTTCTCACCTAAAAAGAATGGCGCAGGTGTTGGAATGTCCCTCACATCCTCTACAGTGAAGACTGATGCAAAGAATTCATTTAGCTTCTCAACAATGTCCTTAGCTTTTCTGGAGTGCTCGTTTAGTCCAGTGGCCCCACTGATTGTTTGGCAGGTTTCCTGCTTCTGAGGAGTTCAAAAACTAACAACATTATTTTTAGGTTTTTTGCTAGTTGCTCTTTGAATTCTTTTTTGCCTGGCCCAGTTATCCTTTTACAGTTGACTAGCCAGAGTTTATGCTCCTATTATCCTCAATAGAATCCGACCTCCCATTTTTAAAGGATGACTTTTTGCCTCTAACCACTTTTTTATTGGGTTGTTTAGCCACGGTGGCACTTTTTCAGACTTTTGTTTTTTTAAATTTAGGGTATATCATAGAATCATAGAATATCAGGGTTGGAAGGGACCCCTGAAGGTCATCTAGTCCAACCCCCCTGCTCGAAGCAGGACCAATTCCCAGTTAAATCATCCCAGCCAGGGCTTTGTCAAGCCTGACCTTAAAAACCTCTAAGGAAGGAGATTCTACCACCTCCCTAGGTAACGCATTCCAGTGTTTCACCACCCTCTTAGTGAAAAAGTTTTTCCTAATATCCAATCTAAACCTCCCCCACTGCAACTTGAGACCATTACTCCTCGTTCTGTCATCTGCTACCATTGAGAACAGTCTAGAGCCATCCTCTTTGGAACCCCCTTTCAGGGAGTTGAAAGCAGCTATCAAATCCCCCCCCTCATTCTTCTCTTCTGCAGGCTAAACAATCCCAGCTCCCTCAGCCTCTCCTCATAAGTCATGTGTTCTAGACCCCTAATCATTTTTGTTGCCCTTCGCTGGACTCTCTCCAATTTATCCACATCCTTCTTGTAGTGTGGGGCCCAGAACTGGACACAGTACTCCAGATGAGGCCTCACCAATGTCGAATAGAGGGGAACGATCACGTCCCTCCATCTGCTCGCTATGCCCCTACTTATACATCCCAAAATGCCATTGGCCTTCTTGGCAACAAGGGCACACTGCTGACTCATATCCAGCTTCTCGTCCACTGTCACCCCTAGGTCCTTTTCCGCAGAACTGCTGCCTAGCCATTCGGTCCCTAGTCTGTAGCGGTGCATTGGGTTCTTCCATCCTAAGTGCAGGACCCTGCTCTTATCCTTATTGAACCTCATCAGATTTCTTCATTTCCTCATTCTTCATCAGATTTCTTTTTATATTTCATTTGAGCCTCTGTTATGGTGTTTTTTAAAAGTTTCCATGCAGCATGTAGACATTTCATTTTTGTGACTGTATCTTAATTTCTGCTTAACTAGCTTTTCATTTTTGTGAAGTTCCCCATTCTGAAGTTAAATACTACTGTGATGGGCTTCTTAACAATATTATGGTCACTATTACCAAGCTCTTAGACCAGATCCTGTGCTCTGCTTAGGACTAAATCAAGAATTGCCTCTCCTTGTCTGCATTCCAGGACTAGTTGCTCCAAGAAGCAGTGACTTATGGTGTCAAGAAACTTTACGTCTGTAACAAGGAGTCTCGTACAATATTTGCTGTCACCCAGTGAAAACAAGGAAACTTCCTTTTCTGAAATGATGCATTTATTTACAGAGACCATCAAGGGTTAAGTTACTCATCATCATTTACCCCTCCAATTCGGCTTCCACTTATACCACAGAAAGAAAGAACTGGGACTTGAACTCATGCTTTCTGCATAATCCTACAGAACAAGACCAAGAATCAAACCCAGGCCTCAGGAACTGTGAACAGAAACCAGGACACCTGCAAAGTAAGTCTGGGACCTGAACCCACTGCTCTCATATGAGGCAAGTATTTAAATTTGAGGGTCCGATTCCTGCCTTAAGTGGAATCTTCTGTGTCCCAATGCATACACTACAAGGAGGGAAGAGAATGCTGCACTACACTGCAGTTCCTGTGTGCAGTGAGGCTGCAGCCCCCTCTGGGGCCTGGGTAGCTCTGGTCTTTAATATGTCTTCACGGTATCCTTTCAGAAGCTGATTAAGTAAGGTCTTTTCATTGTCCCTGTGTAGAACTATGAGTGGTGGGAAAGGATTCCCCTTATATTCGATCACAGCCATCTTGGCCCGATCCAGGTTCTCTCGATTGGGGATCTGAAGCAGTCGTGTATAGTTCCCAGAATGAGCCTGGAAACGTGGAGCCAACACTTTAAACAGCTTATGGATGAGATCTTTCTCCTAGAAAAGGACAGAATGCAGAGAGAATATGCCTCCGTTAGCGCCTCAGGCTGCAGTATCCAACCCCCTCGGGGGACCATGCATGTTTTATCATGAGCCAGTCGCATCTCGGCGCTTACTCTCTTCCAGCTCCAAGCACTGGGTCCTAACTGGCACCCTACACAGCTGCCCGGCCTGCTGCCCCTCTGTCCTCCACAGGTCTGCAAACCCTTCCCTCGGCACCTAGACTGCTGCGGGGCAGGCACCCGGTCCGCTGCTCTCTGTCCCTGAGGCCATGTCCTGACCCCCAGAGCACCGAGCCTGCCCCCGCCAGCCGCGCTCCCGCGGGGGTCCGCGCCGTTTCCCGCCCAGGCTGCGCGGCGCGGCGCCGCCGGGCTACTCACCGTCAGCCAGAAGTCAGCCATGCGCATGGCCGCCTCGTCCGCGTCGCCCCGCTTGGCGTAGTCGATCAGCTGGGGAGAAGCAGGGATCGTCAGCCTGACTAGGCCGCCGCCGCACCAGCCCCGCCCGGCCCCGACGGCTCATGAGGCGCACGGCAGAGCCTTCGCCCCAGGCAGGTCCGCCGGCCCCGCCCCTCGGCCCGCCCGCCCCGCCCCTCGGCCCGCGCGCCCCGCGCCGCCGTACCCGCTCCGCGTAGACCCGCATCTCGTCCGCGCGCGCCCAGTGCGTCTCGATGCGCTCGTGCCGCACCAGCGCCGTCACCAGGTTCCGCAGCATATCGAGGCGCGAGCGCGGCCCGAGCCCGAGCCGCCGGTGCACGCGGCCATGGGATATCGCGGCAGCCACCGACAGCCGCATCACAAGCCCGACTCCGACCGGAAGCGGCGGCTGAGGAACCGGAAGGAAGGAAGCCACTCGAGAGGTGGGGTTGGGGCGTCTCCGAGGCCAGGGCGGGGCTGGAGGCCGGTGTGACGACACAAACAGCCCCCTCCCCTTTTGCGCGGTGGCCGTCGTGGCTACTGCTCAGGACTTACTGTCGCCTGGTCCAGGGGTTGCGAACTTGGGGGGGTGGGGCTTTGGGTTGAAAACAGTCACGGTTTGCTTCCTCCTGCTAATGTGCAAAATTGATTTATTTGATGGTTGAGGGGCTGTTTCATTTTGTGTGTCAGTACGTGGAAAGGGAGGTGAGACTTGGGGGTACGGAGCATAGAAATGGGCCCAAGGTGATACCAGAGTGGCCCGTTTGATTTTTTTCGTTGCCTTCCTCCTTGCTTATTTGCAATGACTTCGCTGCCCATGCACCTGTCACCGGTCCAGGGATGGTTGCGAACTGGGACGGATGGGGCTTTGGGTTGAAAACACGATTTGCTTCCTCCTTGCTGCTTTTATAATTTGCATTGTACACATGGACACAAATACCGAGAATATTTTTTTCAAATAAAAAACCTTTATTATTATAGTCTGGTATATAAATAAAAAGTCATCTTTTGGTTCCATGATGTTTTGAACAACAAGCATTTAAACAGAATGTTATTTTTTTGGTAAAGAAGTGAACTATGCACATTTGTTGCACTTGTATTCTTTCTTGTCATCAGTCAGGTTTTCTTGATTGGTTCCTTCTGGAATGCAGGGCATATGTGCCCACCTCTTGCAAGAATCACACTGGACCTTTGGTAAGTAACAATTGAGAAAATGAATGTCAACATTACCTAAGATAGGCCTATCAGCATGATGAAAATGTTTACTGATGTGGAATTTTTAGAAGAATCCTCATCCTTAGGCAGTTTATGGCATTTGTTTCTCATGCAATTCTGATTCTTACCATCTTGCAATCCTGACTTTCCGTTTCACAGTTGACAGGGTTGTAGGAAATGCAGTAGTCCTCCACACTCGCTGAAAAATGAATATAGTGCTATGAAATGATTAATATATTATGACCAACACTGAAAATGCAAATCCTGATTTATTAGGGTTAGGGTTAGAGTTAGGGTCAAGGAGTTAGGGTTAGGGTTAACAGGTTGCGGGTGAGGGTTCGCTTAGGGGTAGGGTTTAGGGTTGGGGTTAGGGTTAGGCTTAGGGTGAGCGTGAGGATGAGGGGTAACGGTTAAGGGTTGAGGGTTAATGGTAGGGTTAGGGGTTTAGGGTTAGGGGTTATGGTAGGGTTTACGGGTTAGGATTTAGGGTCGGGGTTAAGGTTAGGGTTACGGTAGGGTTACGGTTGGGGTTGGGTTAGGGTCAGGGGTTAGGGTTGGAGGGTTACGGTTAGGGTTAGGTTAGGGGATAGGCTTGCGGTAGGGTTAGGGTTTAGGGTTGGGTTATGGTTTAGGGTTAGGTAAGGGTTAGGGTTTGGGTTAGGATAGGGTAAGCGTTTGGGGTTAGAGTTAGGGGTCAGGGTTAGGGTTTGGGTTAGGGTCAGATTCAGGGGTTAGGGTTAGGGTTTAAGGTTAGGGTGAGGGGTTAGGGTTGGGGTGAAGGTAGGGTTAAGGTTAGATTAGGGTTTAGGGGTAGGGTTGGGGTTAGGTTAGGCTTTAGGATAAGGGGTTAGGATTAGGCATAAGGGTTTAGGGGTAGGGGTAGCATGAACGGTTAGGGTTAGGGTGAGGGGTTAGGGTTGAGGGTTAGGGAGAGGGGTTAAGGGTGAGGGTTAGGGTTAGGGTTAGGGTTGTTAGGGTTAAGGGTTAGGGTTAGGGGTTAGGGTTAGGGTTAAGGGTTAGGGTTAGGGTTAGGGTCAGGGTCAGGGTCAGGGTCAGGGTCAGGGTCAGGGTCAGGGTCAGGGTCAAGGGTCAAGGGTCAAGGGTCAGGGTCAAGGGTCAGGGTCAGGGTCAGGGTCAGGGTCAGGGGTTAGGGTTAGGGGTTAGGGTTAGGGTTAGGGTTAGGGTCAGGGTCAGGGTCAGGGTCAGGGTGAGGGTGAGGGTGAGGGTGAGGGGTTAGGGTGAGGGTGAGGGTGAGGGTGAGGGTGAGGTGAGGGGTTAGGGTTAGGGTTAGGGTTTAGGGTTTAGGGTTTAGGGTTAGGGTTAGGGTTAGGGTTAGGGTTTAGGGTTAGGGTTAGGGTTAGGGTTAGGGTTAGGGTTAGGGTTAGGGGTTAGGGTTAGGGTTAGGGTTAGGGTTTAGGGTTAGGGTTAGGGTTAGGGTTAGGGTTTAGGGTTAGGGTTAGGGTTAGGGTTAGGGTTAGGGTTAGGGGCCTTAGGGTTAGGGTTAGGGGCCTTAGGGTTAGGGTTAGGGTTAGGGCCTTAGGGTTAGGGTTAGGGGCCTTAGGGTTAGGGTTAGGGGCCTTAGGGTTAGGGTTAGGGGCCTTAGGGTTAGGGTTAGGGTTAGGGTTAGGGTTAGGGTTAGGGTTAGGGTTAGGGTTAGGGTTAGGGTTAGGGTTAGGTTAGGGTTAGGGTTAGGGTTAGGGTTAAGGGTTA